CATTTGGCACGCCTAGCAAAAGTCGAATTTCAAACATACATACATGAAATTGGGCACACGAACGTCGTTTATTCCAAAGGGCACGCGCCCGACTCCGCTAGCAGACGACAAACCGGGAGGTTGCCGTTCTCCATCTTTGGGCTGTATCGACGGGCAGTACGGAACATCGAACTCTCGCTCGTGGCTGCCGTTGTGAAGTGGTTCGCGTTCTTAGAATAGTTGTGGCTACTCCAAAATGAGCCTATAGCTCTCTGTTGTTCTATTTCGCTAAATAATGAACTAGCATATCCTTTTTCCGTTACTTAAATAGCAGTTGAGTCAGCCTGCAGTACTACCCTCAACTACTGCGTGTATTGCGCCAGGAGAGCACGTTTTATTTATTATTTCAGACTTCCACTCATGGTCGCTAAAGGCCTACACCAGTACGAACTTCGTATAGTAAAAAGGTACAGCAACCGGATTTACTTTTCGCCAAAGAGACCGGCAAATCTGACACAGTTTTCCCTATTGTTTTTTTTTTTATTTTTATTTGCACGCAGGTAACAGCGCAATTGGACCCTGTGAATCTTTTTATCTAGCATAGTATTACACGACAACTGGCATACCAAAATCTGCGCATCCGCGCTTGACAGTTCCAAAATGACGCGATTTTAAACAGAGTTTGCACGCCAGCCGGACGCTAGCTACAGCTCACTCGGCGCAGCAGGCGACGTACGGGGTGAGAGGGGGAGTGCATTTTTTTCTCTTTTACTCTCTCTGAATTGGAAAGGGCTACCGGCGCTTTCCCCCTTTCTGATTGTGTAGAAAGAGTGAAAGTCCCGGATGAGAGGCTTCGCCGGTGTTGGGTGTCTGCTGTGCGCGAACTTCGTTCGCGCTTTCTTTTCTGTTTTAAACTCGCAAACTTAATTAAAGCCAGACGCTTCGATGGCAACAGTCGCCCGGTCATCGGGGCACCACTGCTGGGTCATAGGGTGCACGAATAAAAACAGAAAGCATAGAATACTGTCCGAGGACATATGTAGCTTGCAAGGAATTCAGCAAGGCGAGAGCGGCTGCAATGTCTTTGAACTCCATCGCTTTCCACATGAACCCTGCTCCGGGGGCAGTGGATTGCGTCCGTAAACCGAAAAGGCGTTTCCTCGACGCCATCCTCTCGACTTCGCTCGGAACATTTCGTGAATGGAGCGCGCACCGAACGCTGTACCGCCGATGAACATGGGGTACGCTCGCAATGTGCGTGCGAGTTTTCTCATGATAACTGCTGTTTCAGCTTGTAAAATTTCGTAACTGAATTTATCTTAATAGTGATAATTTGTAGTGGTGACTAAATCGATTTTATCATCTACAACACTTAGTTAGAGGCTTTTATTTCCGCCGCCGGGTGAGGCTGGAAATTGTTGAAAACGTAGTTGTATTGATTTTTTTTTTAATTTTTTTTTTTTTTTTTTTTTTTTTTTTTTTAATTGCGATCTCCTGCGCGATACCAGAGAGCCGGCAAAAGCGCTCCTTCGAGTGCTGCTGGTGGGTTGTCTCCGTTGACTAAGGCGCTTTGAGGCGCTTGATAGTCGCTGCAGGGAACGACTCGTGTGTTGCGATCTGCGTTTTCGAGCCCAGTGCGCACGTTTCTCTGTTTGTGTCATAGCATCCGCCAGTGTGGCGACGGGGGGAACAGCGGCAGCGAACGTGCCAGCGATAGAAATTGGAGGTGAGTACTCAAAATATTGCATCAAATAGTAAAGTATTTCGTGGCTGCTTCGAGGCTTTCTGCGGTTCGATAAAAGTACATCTACAGCGTCTTCGTCGTTCATTCACAAGGAAATATAAGAACAGGGACACGAAGATAAAAACAGCACCGCAAGACGATATGTAGCAGCTCCGGGCGTTTACAAAGTTAATTGAGGTTCCCGTTTCGTGTATCGCTTGCTGATTACAACTAAAAGCGGCTACGTTTAAATAGGCCCATTGCTGGCAAAAATGTATAAATGGTTCATCATCTCCAGTCATTCGGAAATCAATGGAGCTTAAAAACATTCCAGCCGTACTTGCCTTGCCGGATTCCATGCAAGCTACATAGGTCCTCGGACAGTATTCGACGCTTTCTGTCGTTATTTGTGCACCCTATCACCCAGCAATGGTGTCCCGATGACCGGGGGACTGTCGCCATCAAAGACCATGGCTTTAATTAAGTTTGGGAGTTTGAAACGTAGAAGAAAGCGCGAACGAAGTTGGGGCACTGCAGACGCCCAACACCGGCCAAGCCTCTCATCCGGGACTTCCACTCTTTCTACACAATCAGAAAGGAGGAAAGCGCCGCTAGCCCTTTCCCCTTTTCTCTCTCGCTCTCAAAATGGCGCTACTCACGATAAAACGTCCGACCGCGCAATACGACGGTCGGACGCGAGGGTTTTCAACGCTCTCCGATGCTACGAAAACCCTCTCCCCCCAAGGTCATTCCGGCAGTCCGCACGTCGGATCGGAAGGTTTCGTCGTACATGTGTTTCGCGCCGCAGAGATTCGATGCGCATGCACCGTCTTGTCATTTCTCTCCCGGTTGTTTTTTTTTTTTTTTTTTTTTCTATGCCATTAGAACATAGTAGCCGACGAAAGCGTCATCCCTTTGAAAGCCGTAGCTATGCACTGTCTGGTCCAAAGTGCCTGGATGTACCGGTCGCGCACCTCTCCGCGAGCGCCAGATGCGATCATCTTCCCGGACTTTGGAAACGCGTTTTAGAACGTCGCTCGAGTTAAAAAACCACACGATTATACTGAACCCAGCGGCTACACATAATGTTTAATGGTCAAAGAACCTTCAAGATCGTTCGATTTTAGTGTAGAATGTACTTTTTGCAAACGCAAAGCGAGAAATATGTTCCGCTCGAAACTCGATGCCTGCAAGGTCATTCTCTCACGAGGGTGATCCAATTCGGCACACGTGACCGCTTCGCCGCCAAGAGTTGGCAGTGCAAGGAAAAGGAATGCTATACGCTGGCTCTGCTAGCAGAGCCTATACAGTTACTCGAATTGCCTTCATCGCCGTTATCCCAGGATGATTTGCATGCAAGAGCTGCATCACCTGGCTCCTTGTACCTTTGGAATCACCACACGATTACCCCAGAACAAAGCCTCGACGCACTGACAGCCGTTTCTTACTTCAAACGGTACAAAGTACCCACCAGAACTGTCATCAGGCCATCCGAAGCACCCACTACACCCTTGACTAGGGTGACCATATTCCTCAAGGTAGAAAACGGCACATCCCAGTGGGGGGGAAGGGGGGGGGGGGAGCGTTTTAAGCATCGAGATTAGGGAAAAAAAACTTCATTGAAATAACTGCTCTCATTTCAAAACATTACCATATTGAATTAAGCCCTAGGGCCTAGGAAACAGTCCCATTCACGATTCAGTTGCATGCACTCATTTGGAAGGTCCTGCTTCGGGTCCTTCGTTGGTGTGGGCGTATTTTGTTGACGACTAACTTTCCGAAGCGGGACTTTAACCTGCAAGACTCGGCTGCAAAAGTTGGCACACATATATATATATATATATATAAAAAAAATCATCTCTGGAAAACGGGACACGATTCTTTATTGGGACAAAGACTGGACGACAGACGTGGAACTCAAAAACGGGACTGTCCCAGCCAAAACGGGGCGTCTGGTCACCTTACCCTTGACAGCAGTGTCCTTTCCAGGTGGGGCTACTGGACGGCTTCAAGCAAGGATGTTACCGGGGTAGTGTTGGTTCGTCCACACCTCCAGGCACTCACAGCCGACTCAGACCATCCGCATTAGAGTAGTTTTGGCCTTTCCGGTATTTGATCAGGTTAGACAGCTTCACCAGTAGCTGTAGGCACTAACAGGAGTGTCCACCATAGCATTTGGGGTGAAAGGACATCAGGCATGCACTTGTCTGTGCCAAACGACCCCAGTAGCAGCTTACATTCTTTCGGGATTGTACAACTTCTTCCTGTCGGATACTGGCACTGCTTAAAGTCTCCCGCAAGCTGAGGGGGTCCCTACAAGAAGGATGGGGGGGGGGTCTGACGAGATGTACTAGATGCACATAAAATGAACCCCACTGCTGACTACCCACTCTGCACCCCTCAAATTGATAATCCAATTAAATGTTACATCTCTGAAAACAATTAGAGCTATTTACTGAAAAATATTTACATTTCACTAATGCTGGGGCTGTGGAGGAGAGTCTCGGACCATCCTTTAAAATCATTGGGGGTCTGAGACCCCCTAGACTTTAAGCCCTGGATACCAGTGAAGGTGTCTAACCCCATAGACAATGGCAAGACCCTCTCGGTCGACTTCTGCACAATTCCGGCCACTCTTGCCAAGACTTCGTGAGGCATATGCGATGGGAAGCTGAGTCCCGCCATCCTCTTGGTGTGCCAACAACTTTCCAATCTCCACTGGTGAGGAGTCACAGCATAATACCAAAGGACTGCTATTGTCATACTTCGACAAGAGGCTAAAAAGTCTGCAGTTTCTCGAGGCTTTCGAAAGCCTTTGTGTTCTCCTGTCCAGGCCCACTTTTGCCCATCATCTAGCATGCAATGAAAAATCTCTGCAACCTCTGCCTTCCCTTCCAGAGATCGATTGTAGAAGTTTACCACACACTAAGACTTGTTTCTTTTTTGTTAGTTGGAGCTGGAGCACTGAATTGCTGCAACTTTGCTGGCACTTGGGTGAATCCTCGAGGCAGCTATCTTGCTTGTCATTAGATTACAAACCTGACATAACAGACAACAGCTTGCAAGGGAAATGAAAGTGAAGGCAGTGGTGTAAGCTGAAGTGAGGACACCTGAATATCAGGATGGCCAAATGTTAGCCCCTATCCTGAAAAAAAACAAAAACACTAAAAACTGACGAAGTTTGTTATCATTCAAATGGTGCAGCCTTTTTGTCAGGCGGACGTGCCCGACACACGTTAAACCTATACACCTATTCTATGATTCAGTTCCTCCACATTCATGAGGTTCTGACACCAGATTGAACACAGTTTTTATAATGATTTTCTTTATTCATTCACTCTCCATTGGCCAGTTGTCTTTGTGGGCACATGGATCAATTCGTTCTGATGAGAGCATATAAAACAGCATAAACGAACCTCTTGCGTATATTATGCCAAAACCATGACATTTCGGCAAACATGAATCTCTTAAACCATACTAATAACCGCGACAAGCTTTACATTAAACAAAGCACTCAGTCATCGAGACAAACATCCTAATCAAAGACACGCAGTGCAAAATGCTAAAGATGTTTTATCGTGCAAAGAAAACCAAAATAATCAAGCTAGTTAAATCGTGCACTCACAATGTCTGTCGTCAATTAAGTGCGTAAAAAAAGATGGCCAGTGAATGGAGACTGCAACAGCACTGAAAAGGGGAACACATTAAAACCACAAATAAAAAGGCATCTCCCCACTTAAGAAAAAGGGAACCTGTAGAAACTACTAGGAGAAAAGTGGCAATCAGTTCATCTCATGAAGCACCACAAATGATCGTAGACAGAATATTTACACCAGAGCAATGCTATTTTGGGAAATTTTGGGAAAACATGCTTCCAATTCGTGCAGCTTGGTCAAATGTTTACCAATATAAATAAATTGGGCTTAAAACAAAACCACCGCACAAAGCTTGTCTTCATGAATGCAAATCTACAATTTTTACATTTGTGAACAATTTCATGCCACCAACAACCGGTCATGAGAACCTAATTAAAAGTACAAGTTTATTGACAAGTCATAGTTTTTTTGCATATTTGATAAACCAAATTTCAGCACAATGAATAAATAAACAAAAAAGTTGAAGTACCTTGAGCTATAGTCCGGTGCAACTCAAGAAGGTAGGGCGAGGGTAAGACTGGCCGGGCAAAGTAAGCAGACGGAACGCTGGAGAAGAAAGGGGGAACCTCTGTTTGGCGTTTTGTCTGCTTCCTCCTCCCCGGCCTGTCTCACCCACGCCCTACCTTCTTGAGTTGCAACGGACTACAGTAAAATTGTGCATTCACGAAGTCTATCGTCAATATAAAGTGCATAAAAAAATTGTCAGTGAAAGTAGGTCGTGGCAGCGTTAAAAAGGGATTGTATTAAAACCATATAAAAGGGCGTCTCCCGTCTAAAAAAAAAGTGGCATGCAGTTTTATTTCGGGCAAGCCACAAATGATCATATACAAAATATTTACACCGGAGATACACGCAATGAATAAGATAAATAAATCTCCGCGTGATGTTATATTTAAGATATAAAAAAAATTGATCGTCAAAAGTTTAAAAAATGTGGCAGGTAAAGCTTCAGTGCAGCTGCATTTTCTTCAGGTTGCTAAGCTGCTTGCTGAAGTGGAGGACCTTGCTCTCCTCTTCGATCGGTACGTCCTGCAGGAACCAGACAGAAAAAAAAACTAAACTGATACTTCATCTCTAACAGAGTCTGAGCTGTGTACTGGTAGAAAACAATCTACGGTTTTCAAGAAGTAGGGTTTTGATACAAACTTCAATGTAGCTTCTGCAATTCCCTTAAACACTTTCTGTGATAGTTTATGGTAATAACTCAATCTATGGGCTATAAGCATTCTAAAAAACCAAAAGTTACATCACATTTTTTATTATAAAGATCACCTTGGAACTTGGCTTACAAGTCCTTCATTCGTTCGACAGTTGAATATGCTGGTCTAATTTGGAGTCCCTAGCAAGATTACTTCCTTAAAAAAGTTGAATCCATCCAAAACAAAGCCATTCACTTCACTTTTAGGGATTATTCTTTTACGTCTAGTGTGACATCTCTAAAGTCGAAAGCTGTCCCGACATATATATTGCAACAGACGCAAAGTATCTCGATTGACCCTTTTTCGCCGCATATGCTACCATGATCCACATCTCAAGTCTGCTTCCACTTGCTTCCAATTTTTTCGAGGTGTGCTCACCAGCACATAATCCGGCTGCCCTCCTGCCGAGTGTCCTTGAAATCTTTCTGTTAAGGAATGGAATGCCCGACAGTGTGGCGAACGTCCAATTGTAGTCAATTTACGTGTGCTTGCGAATAATTATTCCATATATTTTGACCCTATGTACTACATTAAAATGTAAATATTGCTTTTTTTCGTTCCTTTTTATGCAAGACTCTGTATAACCTTTTTTTAATTTTCTGCGTTTGGTGTTTAAAATATTTATCCCCCCCTCCTCCCCTGGAATTCCTTCGGGCACTTTGAGATAAATAAATTAAAATGAAGACGGAACTACCGCAGACACCACAGAACTTGTCACACAAGGAAGGGCAGGGCTCTGCACTTGCTTGTCCAGTGGCACCATCTCGTCTCAATCTTTTAGTGCAGGTTCTAATAAAGAAATCGGCCACGCAAATGCGTGTAACGTTTGGGTCGTCTTAGGGCGCTTAGAGCCCATAGATGGAGTCCTGACCATAAACTATTGCAGAAAGGGGTTCAGTGCCCCTCTAAAACACCAGAAAAGAAACGAAAAATTGCACCTTTGCTAACTGCGCCCCAAAACGGCCTCGACCTCAAAATCTAGAATATTTGAGCTGTTAGTCTACAAAAATGCTTACGATACTGACTGGACATGTGTTTTATTTGCATGAGGTCGCCTGAGAGAGGAGAGAGAAAAACATTAAAAGAGAAACAACACAGATATGTGCGCACAACCACATATGTAAATAACCACCAAAATGTTTGCATCACGACGGTTTAGTAACATTTGATCCGTTCTATCAAGTATAGTTCCTTCGCCTGCATGTTTCCAAATATTTTCGATTGCAGCACACAATGTGCGAAAGACACAGAACGTGCCCACGCCTACAACGTGCACACGCCTACAACGTGCCCACGCCTACAACGTGCCCACGCCTACAACGTGCCCACGCCTACAACGTGCCCACGCCTACAACGTGCCCACGCCTACAACGTGCCCACGCCTACAACGTGCCCACGCCTACAACGTGCCCACGCCTACAACGTGCCCACGCCTACAACGTGCCCATGCCTACGTGCCCCCCACGCCTACAACGTGCCCACGCCTACAACGTGCCCACGCCTACAACGTGCCCACGCCTACAACGTGCCCACGCCTACAACGTGCCCACGCCTACAACGTGCCCACGTCTACAACGTGCCCACGTCTACAACGTGCCCACGTCTACAACGTGCCCACGTCTACAACGTGCTCACATATACAACAAACACGTACGTCAATACAACCAACGGTCACAACCCGTCTTCGCTAAACCCTAAGGCCCGACCACACTAGCGGCAACAGCGCTGCGGGTCGGCGCCGCCGGGCGGCACCACAGTTCGACATCCCAATGCGAGGGGGCCACATTGGCCTCCATTTTGCCGGCATTTGTCACGTAACAGCAGTGGATCTCGTTGCGCGTGCACTTCCGCCAGATTTCTTGCACTTTCGTCGTCTGCCCTTCGTTAGGTTTTTCCAATTTGGCGCCCATCCTCCACATAACTCAACCGAAACCGCATCCCCTGCCTACATGGCAAGTACAGTCAAACCCACTTATAATGAACGCGATAGTTCTGCAAAAAGTGGTCGTGTTATCAGTAGTTCGTTATATATGGACTTGCCTTGAAAACACGGTATAAATAAGGATAATGAAGCTGGTATTGGAAGTTTCACTCAGCCAGTTCTTTATTTAAAGAAACTGTTTGCACGATTCTAACGTGCCCCCTATCCAAACGCGCAGGCAGATTTAGCTTTCAGATCATCAAAAAGTAAACTGCTGCTGATTCGATATTATGAAATGCACGCCAACAGAGAAATAAATGCTGCGTACTGGTCCGAAGATGGTTCTTCGCCGTCCACAAAGGTAATTAAAACTTGCTTTGGTATAAAGCATTTCAAGTGCCGCGCTTCCTGCGCATGTAAGGCGCAACCATCGCCTCTGGCAAGGTCGTCTTTCAAACAACACTTTGCGTGATCGTCGGGTAGCTGGGATTGCAAGGCCACACAGTGCTTTGTTACCTTTTTTCGCAACCGTGATGCCCCTTCGTTTAAATAAAGCCTCCTACTGTTTTTTGTTTTTTCTATCTAAAAACAACAGACACGAGTCCGTAGACGCGTCAGAGTGTGCATGATACAAATACCAAAATGGCGAACGTAAACAAACGGTCATGATAGCGATGGGGCTAGCCACTTTATACCGAGCATAGAGTTTTTCTCGAGTTGAATTCAGAGTATGCAAACACAGAACGTACGAATGCAGCACGGTTTAAAAATTGACATCTTCTCCTCCTCTTTCCTGTACACGCACAAACTGCAGATTATGCGACCCGGGAGGGCGTTTTTGCTTTTGTAGTTGTGTGTTCTCCCCAAGGAAGTATGCAGCCTGGCCGTGGAAATGACCTTGAGCGCGTCCCAAAACGCTGCTGTTCTGGCCTTTTTTCTTTTTTCCAAAGGCGGATTTTTGAGTTTTTGTTGTAACAGCGTGATGCTTTGAAAAACAGTTGTTTTATCTGGACCAATTTTAATGAGTGGGGCCTCGAATTCATACATTTTCTGAAAACTGGTTGTTATATGTGGGATCGTTATAAGTGGGTTTGACTGCATGACGATGACCCGGTGAACAGCGTGAATGGACCACCCTAGCCTGCTCGTTGATCTTCCAACGTCGCCGCACTCTGAAGACAAGAAGGCGCATGTTCTGGTTCCGGCAGAGTTGGAACTACCGAATCCCCGAGGGACAGGCCAGTGCTTTTCAGCCCTAGCTGCGTGCCAGAGATCAAGGCTACTTTCGAGAATGAGCAATACAATCAGGTGCGACAAGTGTTTTCCGTTAATACTATTGCGGTTTCGAAACACCGCTCCGTTGCGAAAGGCAGCGGGGCAAATAGAGATCGCAAATGAAGTCGTGTAACACTCCTTCGCAACAGGAAAGATGCACGGCAAAGCGGCTTGCGCGTCGCCATGACACCGGAACGTCGCTATCTGCACCTGCTCTTATTGGCTCCTTCTTTCTGCGACAATAAAATGGCGAGTCCCCAACCGCACGCGGGCCGGCTGCTCGGACAGCGCCGTCGGCATGCCGTCGAGGGCAAAAACTGGTTTGGGACGGCAGCCCACGGCAGCCGACGACGTACAGCAAGCATCTGCGATGCTAGTGTGGCCACACCTTTACTAGGGAAGAAGGGTCCCTTACCATTGAGGGTGCAGAGCTAGCACCAGCGCAGCCCCCCTTGCAGCTGCACATGACGCTGCACGACCTTGTCCTTCGTTTGCAGCCGCAGCGTGCACCGCACAGGCCGCGGCATTTGCACGCTGCACTGGATGAGGAGCGCTGCGCACACACCACAAAGTCGCATCGCACACAGTTTGGACAACTGTTGAAAACACTAGCATGCAGACGAGCAAATGCCGTTCGCTGAACGTCGATCCAATGGTTTCGCAAATGTCTGGCAAAGAACAGGCCGCGACTGGTCCGGCAGCAAATGGCCACTAGCAGTGGTAAGCGTAACATATGAACCTTGGTTACTGCATTTTCAACCCTTCAGACCCTTCAGGAATCCTTCCAGTATGCTTCAAGAATCCAATTATTCACTCCACGTTCAATTGGATTGTTGTATTATTTCTGGCTTCATTGTAGCCAGAGGTTAAGCTTCTCCCAGAATCCTTCCAGATTGATGCGATTCTCCCAGAATACCGAGTCCTACGCACTACATCGCTGGATTGAAATCTCCTTCCCGTATCGCCGAGTGCGCTGGCATTAGACCCAATTTTTTGCTTTGCTCAGTGTTCCGATTAACTTGTTTATATGTGAACTTACCTAATATTTTGTTCTATGTACGCCATTCGTACATCCTAGCCCACTCCCCTTAGTAATGGCTTTCGGCCCAAAAAAAGTACCGTAAAGTTCCGAAAGAACACCCCCCCCCCCCCCCCCCAAGATCGCCCACTGGATAAAAAGCAGTAACATAAAAATTCGAAAACATCACCCCCCCCCCCCCCCCCTATCCATCGGATGCCACGCAATGTCCGATGGTAATCGCATCCACCGCGCAATCTGCTGTACCGGCATGTCTGACAAGCGAGTTCGTAGCGGGTTCCTCTGTCTTTTTTTGCGATATGCACGCACAATATCGGCTCCTGTAACATGAGAGTTGTTCCCGCGTGTATGCTGCACCGTAAAATACGATTCTGCTGCCTTCGCGATCTGCAGGATTTATTCCTGTAACGCAAGAGTTTGTAGCGAATTTCCGCGCTTTTTGTCCTCGATCTGCGCGCGATATTGGTTCTCGTGACTGAAGTTTGTAGCAGGTTCCTTAGTGTATATCGCACCATAAAACTTGAATCCCCTGCGTCCGCGATTCGCGGTATTCGTTCTCGTCAGATGAGATTCTCGACGGGTTTCTGCAGGTCCTTCACGTCGTGAAACACGAATTTGTTGCGTCCGTAACTTGCAGTACCCTTTCTCGTGACATAGGAGTTTGTGGCGAATTCCTGCGCGTTTTTCGCAGCGTGAAACTCAAATTTGCGGTGTCCGACATCTGCAGCATCGGTTCCTGCTTCGCGTGGTTTGTAGCCGGTGCCAGGCTGTTTACCGTTAATTTTTGATAAAGTTTTGCTGTGGCATCCTCAAAGATAGCCCACCGCATGTTTTTCACAACTGATCTCTTCATTTTGGGCAGGCGTTCGTTCAGAATGTAACGGTAAAAAAATAAACAAATAACAATAAATGAACTATTTATACAAAATGAACTCTTACAAACATCCTGGCCACAGTTCCAGGATTAGGCTACACTATTGACCGAGAACGAAATGCCTCGCATTTAATGTTTTCCTGGAACAAGTCTTACATGCTAAGGGATCTGCAAACCAGTGGTTCTCAAATGAGGTCCCCCAAGGCCTTCTTACGGTCCCCAAAGCCCTCGATTGAGCAATCAAATTTGTTAAATTGATGCCGATTGTTATTGCTGAACCGTGACAAGTTTGACCTTTTTCATTTTTCTATTATCCGTGAAAGTATATAAATTGTGCCTCTTAAATTTTCTACCTTGTTCTACCACATCAAAACTGCGAGGTTGTTCAGGGGCATGAAGAAAATAGAAAATTATTATAAGTATCGTTTTACATGTACTCCGAGTGAGTAGTCTATGTTGAAAAGCTTAGAGGCATCCCCATAACATCGGTAGTTGAGAACCCCTGCGGCAAACAATGCGAGGGACTTCGCCTCGCATGTTGCAAACCGGAGAGAATGCTTGCCTGAACGGCCAGGCGGAACCATACTCCAGGTCGCCAGTCTGGCAGCGCCATCAAAGACAACAGCCGAGAAAGCTTAACCGATTCCGCCTAGACAACAAAACCGGAGGGTTGAAACTACCGCGTCGCCTAAAGGAGTCTGCGTTCGGCTGAGAGTCGTCTCTAATCGGCAAAGGACGCGAGCCTCGGCCAAACGCCGACGAAGCGTTTCGGCCTCCTAACGCTCCCCATCCACGATCGACTGGGAGCAGCAACTCACCTTCATCTCCGGAAGGTCCTCGTCCCGGGACTTCCTCTTCCGGTTCGTCTGCGAGTAAAATGACTGGTTTGAAACGCCCAGACACCACCAAACCGAGCGTCTCTCTCTGCCATTTCAGGACTAAGGCAGTCGTCGACAACACCTGTGCGTCCCTAGGCAACAAAATGGCCATGCCCATAACGCATAAAAAGGTAATACCGGCAACAACACGAAAGTGAACAGTTCATCCTTCTTTCCAGTTTCACAGCTCCCACAACCTTTGTCTAACCTCCACCCATCAAACAGCATGTAGTTTGGGATCCAAACTTTCTGTTCTAGCCCTCGCCGGGACTGTAACATGTTTCCCACATTCTTTTTATGGTTCCCCACGTTTTTTTTTATGTACCTACAAATTTTGGAAGTCTATTCTCTTTCATATTGCTGCCTACTATACCTTGCAAACAAAAGGATGAATCATCGTTGCAGCGGATATTTGTACAATGGGGGGGGTTGGGGTAGAAAGCAAACATGCTATGCTACTTCATTTCACCTGAAGTCCAGATGCAGCCGGCACTACGAGCCGATGGGACAAATCAGACTGCAAAAATGCATCATCATAGTGTTCATCACGCTTCTGTACATGTTCTACCACCAATCGTGAATAGAAAACGTCAAGTGACCTGTGCTTTCGACGCTGCTCGGTCTGTCCAAATAATTTGTGTAGTCGGCTGTGCCATTACTTAAGCTAAAACTAAGTACACTGGGTCTAAAAGCTGCTCACACATTTGTACTGGACTGTGGTCGAGAGAACTGCACGGCGAGAAGTGCAACGTAGTCCTGGCGAAGAAAGTGAGAAAATTTAAACGTTGGTTTCCGCACAACCTTTCTTTGTAGTTTTCTCAATAACCATACTAAACTTAGAGGTGATTAATAGCATGCCAGGACGTTTATAAAGTCTGGGTATTCCGAGAACATGTCTAGTATGGGAAATAGTCGCTCTTAATATTCTCATCATTAGTGATCCCACAATGGAATAATAATGCTTAAAAGTAGGGGTGTGTGAACACGGAACAGTAGTTATCAAGTCGAGTACCGAATCAAATTATATTTGTGAATTAGATTATATGTGCAGAGTATGCCCCTGGTGCAGAATATGTATCTCGTACGGAACAAAAGCTCTAATGTGTAAAAGTTCTGGTGAAAAAAAGAAAAGAAAAGCAGCTGCTGATGGATGTTGGGCACTAACGATCCAATTTTACGCACAAGCATTATCTGTCTACCCTAAATGTCACAAAAAAAAACAAAGTTACAGCCATGTGTGCCTTTTGTCCTCGTAAAAGCACAACCTAACATCGCGACATGTACTTTTTTTATATTTATAGATCTCAAAAAAGGGGCATTTTGCAATATTTGGTCTCAACTTTAAAGGAGAAAAAAGGGCACCCCGGATTTTGTTTTATATAAATAAACAGATAGCTGTTAAATGTGCGTAAACAGATTTAAAACATTATAATTTGAAGTAAGAGGAAAACATGTGGTTAGGTGGCACAAGTCACAGTCTAACTGCCGCTATGCCCATCTATCCTGTTTTAGAGAGTGTACATTTAAAAGAGGGAGCAAGCGAAACAAACCACGAAGGCAGCTCCTGCGCAGATCAGTCGTAAGTGCACACGTGTTGTGTAGTCGCGTGGAAGGCGAGCAAATGGAAGAGCGACGACGCTTGCTCGATCGACACTCTCGTCTTTTCGTCACCTTCTCGCAGTTCGTAATTCCCACGGGGCTGTCGAACGGTTGGAAACCCTCTCAAATCTAGGCACACTATTTTTCTGTTCCGTTGCGAATCAGAATTTGCGGCTTGCAGTTCCGAAAGAACGACGAAAACAACTCTGCTGGCTTCATTGGCGTGGTTAACGTGGTTTTCTTTGTGATCTTGTCACCGATTTCTGTGCGTGTGGCAAGTGTGTTCTACATCGGCGCGTCAATTTGAAACAAGGGGCTTTACTCGTGAAAAGAATTGCGCATGGCGCGGAATTCCAGCCTCCCAACAATTCCTCTCTGGAAGCGGTGCAAACGGGATGTTCCAGTTTTGATTCAAGGTTAGATTGAGTCACGATCATGAGTAAATCTGCACGCTATAAAGTTTGTAGCGTTCGTTACTTCTATTTTTTTCTAAGCTGTGTGTTAGATTTTTGCAGAACGGTGGGACCAAGAGGTGTTTCTCGCATGGTCTGCCGAACACCACGACGCTAACATCTGAAGATGAAACTGCTCTTTTGGCACCTCCGTGCTGACCGTGTGTCTTTGGCTGAATATATTGAATATTCGAGTGACAGAGTACTAAGAATTCGATTCGCAAATTGAATTATTCGGGAACTTGCTATTCGATTCGAATTTGTATATTAGAGTACTCACACACCCCTACTTAGAAGTTATAAAAATGTGTGCAAAGATCGGGAGTGTTCTGGGCCACCCATATTCAGGCGCCAGTGTGCAAGCGCGTTAGGTTACGAGAGGTCCCGATGTTCTCGGCCACGGTTTGACACAAACGTGCAAACAAGTGAATAGTCCATCTACGGTCGTATGCTTTTGAGTGTCGTTAAGGCGAAAAGTTACGGAACGCCACAGAAATCGTCCGGTAAAACATTCCGCGTTAACAGGATAAATAATTGTGACATATCCATTTTTCCTGCGATTCGACGCAAAACCCGCGGAGTGCTGTCAAAAGCGCAACGGCCAATCAGGAGCAATTGCTTCCCAAAAGCAAGGGGACCAACCCTCGGAGAACCACCTTACGAAAACACGCGATTCACACGCGGGAAGCAATTTTTCATGACTGGCCATCGCATGTTCGATGGCGCGCTCCGGTTCCTGCGCCGAATAGAAGGAAAACAGTGCACTGCTATCTTAGATCCCATTTTTAATAGAAAATTGGGTGCACATCAATCTAAACCTCGGGTTTTCTAGAATGCTCGGAGCCCGTAGATAGAGTTATGACCGTAAACAGACGACCTCAAAAACCACTTTAGCGCCTCTTTAACGACTCTCTCCGGCACGCTCGACGGCTCACCTGGGGGAACATCGGACTGCCGGCCCAGTCCGGGTCGTTCTCGTCATTGCTGTGGTCTTCGAAGCTGTCGTCCAAATCGTCGATCATGGGGACCGGCTCAAGCTTCTTGGGCTGGAAAGGAACAGAGTAAAGAAACGCGAAGCAGACATTGTACAACGTGACCATTTCCAGGAGGCATATCGCATGCTGCAGCAGTACCGCGTCACCCAAACGCGTATGTAGACTATGGAGAAAGAGTCCAGAAGTCAAAATTTTTGCACAGTGCAGACTACCTGCAGGTGCAGACTACAGCCTGCCGACTGTTTTTTCGGACTCCGATAATTCGGTCTTGTTCGATATTTCCGACCTAAAGGAGGAATTGCGACCTACCCGATAGAAATAGTACATATTCACAACCGATGTTTCGGACAGCTTGAAGTCCAAAAGTTTGATTATTCGGACAAAAGCGCTGTGAGCGATCAGCGGGAAACACCACTGGGAACCGGCCATTTCGAATTCTATGTTGGCTGCAAATGGATTGGCTTGGTTTGGCAGCGCTACTTGAGTACTCTCCAGTCCTACTGCTAGGTGACACTATGCTAGCCCTTTTTTTCTATTTAGCTGCACATCATCATCATTATTATAATTTTGATTTGTTTCCTTCCATCCCCCTCGCACCTCCGCCTCACTTTCGCGTCTAGCCTCGTCCGGTGTCCGTGCTCACATCCATTGCCATCCCATCTGTCTTCTTAAAAAAAGAAAAAATGTTTGCGGATTCGAACCTGTGCGGGAAGACACCAAAAGATTTCTAGTCCATCGCCTTAACCACTCGGCCACGACTGCGGGACGAGTAGGGGGCTCTGAGATGTGGCAGTAACTCAAGAGCTGGGGTTTCTGTCATGGATGAAACGTTGCATGTAGCCGCTCAACGTCTATACAGGAGAGGGCGCTGCGGTCAAATGCGTATATAATCGCATTAAACTTTGCATGGATTGGCTCAACGTTTATAGACGCGGTCAAATGCTCGGTCAAATGCTCAACTGCGTATATAACCACGTTCCATACCACACACTCTTTCTGACATGGATGTAAACGAACGAAAAGTCCGGCATGTCCTTAAAGCTGTAATAATGAAGTTGAAACGCAACCCGGAACTCAATACTATCTATGAGCGATAAAAAAAAAAATCTGTACAATCGGCACTACCTATGAACAAAATTAGTATCATCAGCACCACCAGAGCCTCGCCCCAATCAACATCATCCACCACATAGAGATGCGGTCATTTTTCGATTATCCGACATGAGGAAAATGGGATGAATAACTGATTACGGTAAGGACGATTTATATCCTATACAGTATAGACCACTTACAACGTAACCGCTTATAATGCAGGACCGGGTATAACGCGGTTTTTTTAAACCACCGGTTCACCTCCCATAGAACTCCATGTAATTACATACCGCTTAAAATGCAGGCGCGCGAAGGGAAATACCGGTTATACTGCGGTTTTTGGCACAGCCCGCCGACCGCGCCGACGACCGGAGCAGCGAGCTCGCTTCCCTGTGCGACACTAGATGAGTAATACAGATCTTGAACGTCTATGCTAAACGCTGTACAACCCACAGGGTTACTATTCGAGAGATAGGAAACAACGGCATTTGAGCTAGGGTGTTGTGTCTGGGTACCTCAAAAAGCACTTGGACACATTAAATGCCGAGGACCCTTTCGTGATCCCTAGCTCAAATGCCGTTGTTTCCTATCTCTCGAACAGTAACCCTGTGGGTTGTACAGCGTTTAGCATAGACGAAGATCTGTATTACTCAATGCCCCACGATGACCTCATGCGTTGCGTAAAAGAATGCATTACGGACCTCAACGATGAAGTTGCATTTAGGTCCCAATGCGGGATTCCGGTCGAAGGGTTTCTAGAAGTGTTGTCATTTTATTTGGGGGCTACCTTTATCGGGTGGCATGACAAGGTGTATGTGCAAAAGTCTGGGGTGTGCATAGGGTCCAGGGTAGCACCCGTGCTGAGTAACATCTTCCTAGCAAAGGTTGACAGGGCACTTGACGGCCTGTTGAAGGCCCCCGCCAAAAAGATTTTTAGGTATGTCGACGATTATTTAGTTTTCGTCGACAAAGGTAACTTTAGTCGGACCCTTGATTTCGCGCTAAAAACGTTCAAGGAGCAGGGTTTGGGCCTGAGGTTCACTTTTGAAACCCCAAAAGACCAGACAATCCAGTTTTTGGATCTGAGCGTGGATGTGAGCCAGAGCCACGTTTGTTGGTGGCATCATCCCAGGACCACCAAGAATCTCCTTGATTTTAGATCGGGGCATTCCAAGCTCGTCAAAAGAGGCATTGCAAAATCATGTATTCTGTCCGCGGTAACAAAGTCTTGCCACCACAGAGTGGGAGAAAGCCTTGCCGCCCAGGTAGGAATCGGTAATCGCCTCGGCGGCGGAAGCAATAGTGAAAAGCATTAAGAGTGAGGCGCGGGGAAAAGCAGCAACAAAAGTAAAAAAGCAGGTCACAGTCATCCCGTATGTGCACCACATGTCACACGGCTTTAAAAGAGCAGCCTCGAAGTTCGGGGTAGATGTTGTGTTCTCGGCACGTAACAAGCTAAGTAGTATTTGCTCTGCAGAGGAATAGCGCGTTAATAAGGTAGAGAAACAGGGGGAGAGCCCGTGCGGCATAAAACACCGCATTGAGTTCGTGCCATGCACCTTGGGTGTAGTATACAAGATACCCTTCACCTGCGGGAAGGTATACATCGGGCAAACGGGGCGGTGCCTCAACATTCGCCTGCGGGAGCACGGTAGTTCTTTAACAGGTACGGCAAGCTCCCACTTGGCGTTGCACTGCAGGGACTGCGCGTGCACACCGTTACTTGAAAAAGCCGTTGTTTTGTATAAACACAGGAACCAAAAAGCTCGAGAGATTGTTGAAGCTCATAGAATGAAGAAGGAGGGGTCAGCCTGCGTGAGTCAGGCTTCCTTGAATTTGCTGGACAATGAGGTCGAGTTTTTAGATCGGGGATGACGCATATAACATTGTGTAACTGATAGCACCCAATTTTGTGAGGCGCATGCGCATTTACATCGAGATTAGAGAGTCGTGTTGTCGTATATTTTTCTTCGTGGGTTCCTGAGAATAAACCTTTCAGTTGTTAGTCAGCGCTCGTCCTGTCCAGTTCCTTCCTCTGTCCTTGCAAAAATTCGCGCTGTTCCATTATGAATCCATACCAACTCGCCCAGTTATCCTGTTTACTAAGTTGCAGTTCCTTCCCAAATATTTGTGAGTGTGTCTTATATCACACCGACTAGTATGCATTTTCCTGTAAGTATGAACATGAACTGTGCAACATGAACTGTGCGAGCAGCACAACAACTGCTGATAACCTGCTCTTCCTGCGGTGCAGTCCTAGGTGCGGCTGCATGTCCTCAACTGGAAATACTCTAGGCACAGTCCTTTGCAGTACTATGTGCAACTTATAGACGGAAAAATATGGTATACAATGTTTTTTTGCGATCTAACTTTCAGCTCAGACCAGGTACACTCCTCCAAAGTAGAGCTCTCAAATCATTCTGAAAGGGACAGTGCTGAGATAACTGTCCGGCAACAGGTTATCAAAAAGGCCCCAACAACTTACCTTGGCTGGCTTCTTTTTCTTGGCGGAGTAGTCCACCCCCAGCACAGGCCTGGCACCTTGCTTAATCACCTGTGTAAAAGGAAAGCAACATGAGCACGACATCAAGAAATGCAGAACGCACTTAGAGAACAAACGAGAGCTTAATCTTGCCGAGCCCAAGAACAAAAACAAACGCTAAAACCAGTTGCAATAGAGTTTAAACCGCGAAGTCAGTTCACTTAGGTACCCATTTCCTGAAAAAAAGGTCGACTTATATGCGGCAATATACGGTAGGTAGATGATCCCAGCTTGAGAACCCATGGTTCGTTGCAGTCAACACTAAAATATTGAGGTGGACTAGTTGGTTCAACGCATTAAATACGTAGAGTGCAAAGGACAGATGATGACACAAAGCACTGTGCTGCCTTCTTGCTGTCCTTGTCCTTTGCACTTTTCCCGTTGAGCAGTCGACGCATTGAGAAAAAGAAGAAAAACATACCTCCTGAAGTTGCTCCACTTCTTTTGTTTTCCTCTCGAGTTCTTCGTGGACAGTCTGGAGTCGGGAGATCTCTTTGTCCTGCCGCGGCGTGAAAGTCGAAGCAGATCAGTCACGACACCGTCAAAGGCACATAACCCTTTCGGCCAGCCCTGTACGTGCCAATGTTCAAAATTTGCTAGCATCGATTCCCACACAATAGAACCTATCTAGAGGGAACATTGGTGCAGCATAAATATGAATAGAGGGGGAAAAAAGCTGAAGTAGACATGTAATAGAGCTACAGGCATTTGCTGCTGCAGTAGTCATAAACCTGATTTATAAAAAAAAAAAAAAAAACTACAGAAAGGTTTTTTTTTTTACACAGAGTGTACACAATTTGCTATTTCACAGAATGTACCAGTACTAAAAAGTTCGAAATATTTCCACAGAGATTACGAGAGTAAAAAATACACGAGATAAAAATGCAGAGAGAAAGACATTAGCTGAACTTTAAACTGGCAACAATTATTCACATTTTCCCCACCTTTACAAATGCAATACCCTTGCCACTTTACAATGATGCTCCGGAAATATTTCGGGGAGGAGTGGAAGCTGTATTTTCGGTAAACCAAGAGAATCAAGAAGTTCAATAGAAACTCAAACACTGCCTTACTTGACAACTTTTACCAATCAAATCGGGAATGCACAGAGGTGAAAGCAGCACCCTCATATGGCACTCTTTCAAAAATTTAGTGTCGCCATGTCCAGACATTTTGGGTCTATTTGCTCTTTTCACGCTTGACCTTTCTCGCTTTCACATTATATGCTTGCTGCCAAACGTTTCTGCGCTTTCAGATGTCTACTCTGTTTATTGATACTGAAGTACATGCCTAGTTGGTAAGAGAAACTCCGAGGCTTTTCGATGTATCCCACTTTTCTGCCAGATTGCTATGCTTGTTTTGCTTTATGGCCCCAGACCTATTCAGGTTACCATATGGCAGCTTTTTGTCTGGACGCCCGCCAGAGTAAATATCTGGAAATAACAATTTCAGATTTCATTTCATTACTCTACAGTGTATAAGGCAAGCAGTCTCTTCACAAGCTGCACTGGTGTGAGCAAGAAGCTCACACCAGTTGCATGCCACTTTAGAAGGTCAACCAAATCTTTCTCGTTGTGGGGCACTGGCAGAACTCAACTTGCTTTTCGGGACGTTTCTAAATTGCTAATGTAGACTTCAGAGTATTGAGAAAGAAATGCCGCGTGCCACCGTGCGAGGTTTGAGGCCCCTACGGTCACCCAAAGACGAATGAAATACGGCACTTTTACATTTACATTTAGATGTAACTACTTGCAAAGCATTCCATTATTGCCTATACTGCTAAATCTATAAAATAATGTCATTAAAATAAAGAGAAATAAAGACACAAATGCATAGTTGTGGAGAGTGAACCAGCTAATACTACTTATGAAGTCCCGTCCCTGATGAAAAGCAATTTGTTTGCAGCGAGAGACCTTGTACATAAGGAGCGAGCATTTCTTCTCGTCTGTGCCAGTAGTTGGAGACTTCGAAACGCCACAGGAAATGCGAAAATCATTGGTGCTCAAATTGCAAAGGGCACTCTTTTTGCTTTTGTGGTGAGGCACATGGACTTCAATTTGAACCCTCCCTGGCTCTCGTGGTTTGCCGATAAAAAGGCACGGATTGTGGTTGGCGAAAAAAAAAATTAATCTTCAAGACTTCCAAGGTTTTCTTTACGCACTACCAATACAGGTCGTCTTCATCTACCATAATCGTACACGCGTAAATCAGATCCTCGGCGTGCAAGCACTTCGGGAATGCGGTATTGCAACAGCTTTCTGGATGCAGACGCGTTGAAGTTTGGCTCATTGAATTTAATGCCCCCAATAATGCCGTATGCAATTTAAGGAAGCTCTCGATTTAACCAAGTGATTTGCGTTGGATCGGGTTTTAACCGTACACATAAAAATGGTTTAAAGGGCAACTCCGCTTCATTTTCGATATTTAGAAAACTATGTAGCCCTCTTCAGTATCATATAGGAAGACCCCATGTCAAATATTACGATCTAATTCCGTCTCTATATTTAATAAACTGGCCAGCAAACCTTCAAACGAGCCAAGTGACCGAAATCTGCCAACTCTAGCATGCGGCGTGAGGCGCAATCATCAGCGCAGTCAATGCCACGGAGTTGGAGCAGCCGACATTGAGCCACTACGTCAGAGGCATGACTACGTCATTCTCACGTTTTGTTTGTTTTCACTTCTCAGAGCGAAATTGAACGATGACGTCACGAGTTTCTCCTCCCGGTGTTGGCTGACCGGGCGTCCACGTGATCACCGTAACGCGGATGCGCTAGTTTGCGCTGCCATGCGCGCTTGTCGGCCTGTTTCTCCGCTCCCCCTCTCCTCTTTCATCTTCTCCCCTTCCCCCTCTCCCCGGGCCATCACCGTCCACGCCATGCGAAGCGAAGTGACCTGCCCGCGCGTCGTGTGTCCTGTTTCTCGCTCCCTCCCGAACGTCACAAGACCACGTGGTTTAACGTGACGTAGCCATGACTCTGACGACCCGAGACCAATGTTGCCTGACGCAACCGGTTTTGGTATCAGCTGATGATTAAATTAGGATTACACAAATAATATTCCACATTTTGCGAATCCGAAGACGCAGAGTTGTTTAATAGTGCTTTACATGCAAGCCTAAATTTTTCGATATTGAACGGAGTTGCCCTTTAGTAGAGTCCCTTACCTGGATCTCCAGCCGCTCGGCAAGGGAGGTGTCCAGGGTAGGGGTCGTGCCCAGGGAAGTGCTCGCGGAGTGCTTCAGCAGGCACAGCATCTGCAAATGCCAAAGGAGAAAAGACGAATGGTGTCACCGGTGGGAGGCTGCGAGGGAAGCCTCCCGACTGGCCTCAAAATGGCAGAAGACCTTTCGCCACAGTTTCTGGAAAGCACCGCCAACCGTTCCGTCAGATCCACCCTGCCGTGCGTCCCCGAAACGTTGGCGAAATGTGTAGCGGGAGCTGCCACATAAAGGTTGGTCCACACATTTGCATTCGACTCTGACCGACCGCTTACGAGGGAACACGCTGGCACCGTTTATTGGGTACCTCTCGAACACCATCAATCTGTGCAGACTGAAGGTTTTTTGGTACTATTTGCGTGATTATATCTATTCACAATTTATGAAAAATGGTCGCTCATAACTAGGGTTCTGCGTTTTCGGTAAACGCCTAGGAAGTTTCCCCAAATGTGCAAAAACCAAAAAAACTCCAGATTCAAGCTGTCCTTAAAAAAACCAAAACACTTCTTCAAAAAAAAAAAAATTATGAGTATTTTATTTTGTGAAGATGGATGATCAGCGACGCTGTTTAGCACACGACACAGACGTAACAGATTTTTTAACAAAGGTACGAACTATCGCAGGCCCAAAGAGCCGGGGGACACTATACTCGGCGACAACTTTTCTTGGCAATGCAGTGGAAGGTACTTTCCCGCGACCCCTCTCCCATTTTGAGTGTACGCAGGCTCTCCTCCTCCACCATTTACGGGGAGAGGAGGAGAGCCCGCACACACTCAAAATGGGAGGGGGACGTGGGCCTGTACCTTCCACTGCATTGCCAAGAAAAGTTGTCGCCGAGTATAGACATACGCGACGGGACCGCCACCCTGGAAGAGCGGAAGGAAAGGAAACTAGGCACGCAAGCGCTTGGAACGACGTCAAAGAGAGGGCAGTGCAAGCGTAGACATGGCAGACACGGGTCGCACACCAGCAAATCTCTGAGAAACCGTTATTATCTACTCGAGAGTCTACCGATCTTGAAAATGGTGCCTATTGATAACTAATCTACTGAAAATGCATATCCAAGTGATGAGACATAAGCTTTTGCATAGAATGAAGCGATTTTGCATTAAATTCTGGACCCGTATAATTGTGGACACGCACAAAAATTCACGGAACCCTAGCCATAAACAGCTTCGCTGCAAAATGAGATAGAGGTTGATTTTAGTGTACTTTTATCCTGCGAATCTGAATACCACGTTCGCTCTCCCCGAAGATTTAACTAAACGCGAGAATGTAGCGGGACATCACCCCACAAAATTTACCCGACGACGGCACAACACAGCGACTCAATGGCTACACAAACCCAAAGTTCATTTCCGTTAAAATGCATTCTGCATTAAAAAATGTATTGCAAAAGCAACAAAATAAGGCGAAGGGTCAACGTACCCGATCCTGGTGCTCCTTTTCCATGGCCAGGAGCTTCAGCTCCATTGCCTTGAGGTCTCTGTCTTTGCACTCTTGAGCTTCTCGGAGCTTGGCTTCCACCTCCTGGAGCTTGGACTGGACCTCCTCAAGCTTGGCCCTTGAGTCCTCCGCCTCCCGGGTGACCTCGTCAGCCCGCTGGCACGCGCCGATCTCGCGCTCGGAGAGCTGCGAGGACGGCCCAGATTGTACGGGTGTGGCGCAACGAAAGCTCAGTCTTCCGGCAATTGTACTACATGCATCATGGATTTAAAAAGTATGAAGTTCGAACTGTGCAGAAAGTGGACTAGAGGGGCCTTTAAAATATGACATACAATCCTTTCCCGCCATATTTAGCACACGGTGTTCACATTACACTTACCCCATGATCACTTAAAATCCCTTATTGTGTTGCATGAACTCCAGATATCGTAGTGTCAGGCGACATCAAAAGAGGTCACAGGACACTGACATGAAGTTAAGTGGTCATGCAACACCCCGACATTGCATCACATGATCAAATAACCCATAGTGGCACCACCTACATGATTGTCTTGCACGCATATCACGATTTCCTTAAAACTCTTTACAACGCTCTAGACTTAGAAACTGGCCAGTGGCGCCGAGCATGCCAGAAGGATGAGATGCCACTCCGAGGAACAGCACATGAAGAACAGCGTCTATGTCAAGATTTGAGATGCGAGACTGGGTGGCACCCTCTTAGGTGCAAACTGGTCGCAACACTGTATACGTATACAACAGGCGCAAAACTTGAGACAGCACCAATCAATACGCTCGCCTCTGCTATATCATAACAGCTATGTCTCGTTAATATGAATACCTCCGTTTACTCAAGAAAAAAAAAAAATATTTATAATGCAAGTGGATCCCAAAAACCAGACAAAAGTGGATGACTTTACCCAGTTCGCCTTTGAGCTTTGCCTAAATAGCGAGGCATCCAGATTAACAAGACATGAGTGTATCGTATTAGAGAGCGGTAAACAAATGTCAAGTTCAGCACTGTTTGAAGTGTGGGATTAGCACCCACTCGGTGCTGCACTGCACATGCAAACTGGCCTTCACAGGAAGATATTTTTCGACTGAAAATAAAGATCAACCCCTCAATTTTTAATAACAGTTCCCAAAGGAAAGTTAACCTGCATTCGAATAAATACTAGGTTTTCACAGCAGTTTTTACGATTGTTACATTTTCCCGGATTATGCGTATTTTTATGGCGGTCCACTGAAAAAAATGTGTGGTTTCACTGCAGTTCTTTCGATGACAGCCTTCCACCATCTGAGAAAGATGGGAAAAACTGGCAAACCCTTCTTCGTGCCATCCTCGTCGTGCTATGAACGCCACCAATGCCTCACAAAATCAATGGAGGACGACTCACCATTTGGAAGAGGTGCGTCCCGATGAGCTTGCACTCTGCTGCGCAGGCACCCGCAAACAGGTTCTTTGCCCGTTTGTCTGAAACAGAACCGTCCATCTTGGCAGCACTGTTCTGCTCTCCAGCGACACAGCGTGGTTATGTTGCAACAAGCAGCCAAAAGGCACTTAGGGGCCACACGTGCAAATACTTTTATCTCCATTGAACTGACAGCACAGCCGTAGAGCAACATGTATTGAAGTTGGCGTAACGAGTTACAATTACAAAAGCAGTCGCCGACAGATTTTTCGGACGTTAAGGAGGAACCGTGAGCTACCCGACAAAAATGATGCATATTCACGACCGATGTTTCGGACAGCTTGAAGTTTGAAATTTTGATTTTTCTGACTAAATCGTTGCTAGTAATTGGCAATAAAACATCACCAAGAATCCGCAATATTAGATCCTATGTTGGCTGCACATGAATGGGCTTGGTTTGGCAGCACTACTTGAGTGCTGCTAAATCCTATCTCAAGGCGACCCTATGCTATGGCTTTTTTTTTAACTGCATGGAGTCGTCATCATCATCATTTTGCCTTGTAAATTTCGCCATTCTGGAGTCGTGGACTTGGCTGGCTTGGACGTCATGACCCCATCTGTTCGTCTGCCATCGCGAAATTTCGCTAAGAAGCGAGGAAACTACTCTACAATAATGCTAGAAAAGAAGGCAGCGATTCTCAAGCTAATAGAAAGTGACAGAATGCAGGCAGACGCATAACCTGAAGCATGGCATGATCGTTTTTTAATGCGAAAGCATTAGAGCCGGCGGCGCCTGTAACCGCAAAAAAACGCGAAAGAAATGCCCCTTGTCCCATTGGCCGAGCAAAACGGCTCCTAGATAGTCATTGGCAGCCGCTTCACGAGAGCGCTCGCTCGGCCACCGCTCTCTTGTCAGGCGTTGCCGGAGGGGGGTGAGGGACTGCAGCCATTTGTTCCTCTCGGCGCCGTGAAACATGGCGGCATTTCAGGCATTTATATCGTCGGCGGCCGCAACCTCTGCTGTAGCGAAACGTGCCAGTCCACCCCAGTACACCGCAGACGAATTAAGAAAGCGGAAGAACAACAATCATGCTTTCGCAAAATGCTTAGTTGTCCTCAGACTTTTTTTGAAGCCCACTTAGACGTAATAAAGCCCAGTTTTTTAATCTGCTAATTTTTCTGACTGCTCCATTATTCAAATGTTTTTTCGGTTCCTGCAAAGTCCAAAAAATTGGTTGGCGACTTTGCACAGGGAGTTCCCGAGAAAAGAGAACCGCATTTATTGTCCCGCAGAAAGCTCAAACTTTACAAGAATGTGACGATAGTGGCTGGGACAGGATGCGAAAGTTTGAGGATAAGATGTTACCTGGGTCGAAAGTTAATTAGGAAAAATTTAATTTCTGTTGACGATATTAGGCTTGGGTGGACGTTGGCTTAGAAAAAAGAACCGACGTTGTGGAAGCTCGTGGAATTTATATAGGTGAACAACAGTTGCCAGGAAGAAAGAATATTACTTTCTTGCTGAAAAGTTGTTTTCACTGAAAGAGATGCTACAGGCGGCTACAAAGTCGTCTCTCATTTCGACGATATTAGGCTTAGGTGGATGTTGGCTCATAGAGGAAGTTGGTTTTTATAAAGTAACGTCTTCTCAAGCTTTCGCATTCTCATCCCAACTGCCAGCATTGCACCGTCAATGCATACATTCCTTACACGCCCTGTACTCCCTGTACTTCTACAGTAACTCCCTGTACTTCTAAAGTGGAAGACAAACTTCAGCAACTGCTTTTCAGTTCTTTTTTTTAAGAGATACTTTGTAACTTTCTTCGATTAGTACTTACCATAAAATTCCGTTGAGATGCCCTACCCCGAAAGATAGCCGACCCCCATGTTTGGCTTGATTCGCTATATTATTTAAACACCAAAAGATGGCCCACTCCTAATAATAGTGGTGTTGGGATCAATGATTTCCTCAGCATAAATGCCCCAGTTCGCTATGGCTCGACATAAGCGAACATTGCTGACTGGGAAGTACAGTCATCTTTGCTTCGTTGCCCCTCGCCACCATAACAAGCATGGAAGGCACACTACCTAAAAATAGCAATTTTTGTTAAACTTTTCTTGATTGCACACCGAAAGTTAACCCACTCCATATTTTCAGCCGATTGCCTCTTGATGTTAGGTGGGCTATCGCTCCGGGATTTTACGGTAGTTCCCGAAATCTTACTTCCAAATACACACATCCTCCGACCTAACCTTGACAGTGCAGAGTGCTGTCACTGCTTCTGGCTGCACTACCGGCAGCATTCCGAATCTGAACAGTATGCGCAGAGAGCATGATCTCATGATGCAAAACAGGCAGCTTTAACGAGCATGCAGCTTTAACCACCCTTAGAGTTAAGCAGCCAATCGAAGCACACAACTTGAATACTTTTTGCCAAAACCACAATTTATCTCTCAAATGTTTTTTTAACTACATACTCTGCAACACAGTCTAAAGGCAATACGGAGCGCAAATCAGTCTGCTCCTTGCACAGGGGCTGTCATGACGTCAAAACGTCGAGCTCTGATCGGCTCTGATGGACAAACAGTGGGTAGACCTCAATGCTAAGCCACCTTGAGGTCTACCCACTATTCTTCAATCGGAGCCAATCAGACCTCGGCACTCTGACGTCACCGCAACTTCTGCGCAGGAAGCAGACGAACTTGTGCTTCACACTGAAACCAAACTTGGCATTTTTTTTTTCTTTTGGTAGCTTCAGCTGCGACCAAAGGCCCGTCTGGAAGACCTTCGCCGAAATCAACTGCATTAGTAAGGGCAAGGAGGGGCCGAGGCCACCTACCGGCCTCCACGTCGAGGATCTTCTGCTGCAGCTCCCCTATGTGGGTGTTGCGCACTTGCAGTTCTGCCTGCAACTCCTCCAATCGCTCACGCAGCGCGGCATCCTTACTCCCCTACGAGGGAACAAAAACAAGATGTCAGAATGCAACTCTTCACTGACAACTCAAGCTGCTTCTTATTCGTGTAACACATAAAAAGAGAAGGAAAGAAAGAAAAGGAAAGATCGGAAAACGAAAGATTGAGGCGAACCTATCGTAAAACACCGAGCAAGTGCACACGCAAAAGTTGAAGGTAATGTCAAGTAAATGGGGATGTGCACTCTATACATTCGAGCACAAGAGGCACGCAGTGGGAAGGCCCTTGTTCGAACCGAGGCAATGGTATGGGAGCAGTATAGGCCCGTAGCTCTCGAGTGTGAGCAGCTCCGATGGTGAGCAAAGTCAAATATTTTCGGGTTGCATTCCGACTGTGGGCCATCTTGCCTGCTCACGTCGCTCACGGATGCCGAGTCGCCACGACATGGTCGACGTGAAGTTCAGGAGGCCTAAAATTCTGCAGCGGTAGAATTTTAGAGTGAGGAACTGTCGAGTGTGCACATGACACGCTCTAAACTATCCAATGAAGAGTGCAGGGAACATAGACGTCTGTATTATTAACGAGCGTGTTGGTACGATGTACTAGATAACAGAAAGTATAAAACAGAGAGAGGACGAATGTACTCGTCTGTGTTTCGTCCTCTCTCTGTTTTATACTTTCTGTTATCTAGTAGACGTCTGGTCACTCAGGCTTTCGCTAAATGTTTGTGATGCTAGAACGTTCCATGAATGCAAGACAAAATTGCCTAGCAATGTGCCATACATTTTTTTTAGGCGATATCTGTCTAGCCGCGAGACCGCGCAACCGACGAGAGCGAAATAAAAAAAAAAAAAAAAAAAGAAGCATGAGAAATTAGAAATTACCCAAATGTATGAAAAAAAAAAAAAAAACAGCCGCTTCTCACCGGCTTTTGGAGAGCCTGGCGCAGCGAGTGCACCTCGGCTGCGAGGTCCTTGCGTCCCTCGACGAGCGCCTCGACGTGCTGTTCCAGCTTCCGGCTGTCCACCGCGAGGGCAAGCTCCTGCTCCACTGTGGCCTGCAGGCCACAACACCCCGCACATTCTCGTCTTGCCACAAAACCAACGTATCGACGATTGCTCTTCACCACGAGCACACCTCCACCTCGTCTAGCTCTGAAAACAGGGTTCTCCCCAAAAAGTTGAGACGTGGAAATCTCACAATTTTTAGGGTGTTGAGAGACAGGGGAGGGGGCCATTGCTGAAACTTTTGGCGTTTGGCACTTTTAGGGCGGTAGCTATAAAAGGGCCGAACGGGGACGAAAAGCTCACCTTGACGCGAGCGGCCATGTCTCCCGGGGTGCTTGTCTTTCCGGCGGCGACCTGCCGCTTCTGCAGCGCCACCTCGAGGCGCGACTTGGCCGCCAGCGCCTCCTCCATGCGTCGCCGGAGCACGGTCATCTTGAGGCCGCTCTGGCGCTCCTGCCGCGCCGCCTGCACTGCCCGCTGCTGCTCGCGCAGCCGGAGGGCGCGCACCTCGCGGTCCCGCTCCCCTTGGGCTCGGCGGTGCCGCTCCGACTCCTCCTTGAGCTGGCGCATCAGCCGCACCCGCGTCTGCTTCATCTCCTGCGGGAGAAGGGCGTGCAGCAGTGCAGAATTTAATTGCACCTATTTTGGAAAGTTCCCATTTTCTGAACAAATATTAGTGCTATATTATCAATCTTTAACATCTGCACAGACTGAATTTGCATTGAAGTTTATGCTAAAACGACATTGCATAAGTGGATATCTCAGCGCCTCGGAGAGAGAGAAATGTAGCATTTTTAAAATATATGTTGCTAAATATGCGAGACATACAATGTTGAGCCAATTGTTTTACCATAAGCCTAGGAACTTTTTCAACTGATCTATTGTTTTGTTACTTGGTTGCCACACAACGAACACTGACCTTCAATGTGTTGCAAAAGCACTAATAAAGGTTCAATCTAGAAAGTATTTCTAACATTGTATTCTTTGTACTTTGTAGCATCTAGCCATGCATTAAAGGACACATGCAAAGGAAAAAAACTTTTTTTTAACAGCCGAGACGGAAAAAGGATGTCATAAAACAATTTTACAAGGAAGAAAAAAAATTTTTGGAGCCATATTTACAGCACTATACGAATTTGTAGTTGGCCCCCGCAGGCGCCGCAGAAAAGTGGCCCTGTCACGTGGTGCTTGTGCTCTTTCTAAAGCTTCCTATGGCCTCTAAAAGTTACTTATTCATCTTTGTTTGAAGTATGTATAACAAAAAACTAAGATTAATAAATAGCTTTTTGAGCCAGAAGGAAACTCCTGAAAAAGCGCACGCAGACGTGATAGACCTGTGCGCCGGTCAGATGACGGCGGCGGCGCCCCAAAGCACACTAACTTGTGCGGCGGCAACGTGGAGAAACGCATTGAAGCTGCATCGTACAACGCTGAGCGTGCGGCGGTGGCATGACTTTGCGGCGGCGGCGACGCAGCGCGGCAGCGCACAGGCTTACCACGTGACCAGCGGAGGCTCCCATGGGCGCCAACTACAAATTCGTTTTGCACCGTAAATATAGCTGTACATTTTTTTTTTTCCCTGTAAATTTGTTTTATAATATTTTTTTTTCCATCTAGCCTGTTTAAAAAAAAAAAGTTTTTTTCCCTTTGCATGTTTAAGCATAATTTTTTGTTCAAGAAATGTTTTTCTATTGTTTCAGAAAGCAAAGTTTTACTTTTCTTGGAGTACTACTAAGTGGAAAAACTGACCAGATATTTGCAATCATCAAGAAAAGCTGAATGACGGGATATAATGCAAACTTGGCAAAAAATGCAACAGCCTTTAAAGATAAGGGAGCATAATTGGGCGGCATGGGGAAAGTAACACAGTCTGGGTCCGTGTATTCTTTCTACATGTCCCCGCGTCTTATTGCACCACTATTATTCCTGTAAGACATACCGACTCGTCACTACAAACATTGCTACCGAAGTGTGTGAATCTCGCTAAAGAAATAAACCATTCCACAAATTGGCAGCGTCCCTCGCCGCTCCACGAGGTCTCCGCAAAGGACCCTTCCTACATTGCCAGTGAAACACTGACGCAGTACTTTGCGCAACTGCCCTCAACGTCGAATTAGCTGGCCCACTGAAGCGCACTGCGGTAGGCGTGCAAGAACACGAGTCACGGCAACACAATGCGAACTGTACCTTGTGAGTCGCCACCAGAAAAACCCCTTCTCACCAGGATTTCTGCCTTGAGCTTCTTGGCAGCGCGCTCAGCTTCCTCCTTCAGCCGGATCATCTTGGCCTGCTCCTGGACTTTCTTGCGGAGCTCCGCAACGCGCTCTTCCAGCTCCTTGATGCGCTTGCGCCGTTGCTCAGAGATGCCACTGCAACAGAGAACATGGAACGGTTAACCTCGGGCAAGGGCAACCTATAGCAGGTGTTCTCACCCTGGGCTCCTCACACTGGTATTACCTATATTACGTATTAAGATACTTCAATTCTGCTTCACTCTATCCAGTTTGCCGTATCAGAGGGGTACCGCCGTAAAAATTCTGCAGTGCCGAGAAACGCGCTTCGCTAGGGCCGGTTTAAAGGAACAAGAGGGGGTCACCTCTGCTGGGACTTCTTGCTGGCATTGTTGCCAGACACCACCAGGACAGAGAGGTCGTCCCTTTCCTTCTTGAGCAGTGCCACCTCCTTCTCCAGCTCCTTGGTCGTTGCCTGTCGGCGGAGAGGCACACGAGAACAAAAAACACGAGTCAAATTCGAAGGTTTTACGTGCCAAACCGCGAATGGCACCTGGCACGCCCCATCGGAGGACCACTTTAGCGATCTATTGACACAAGGTTGAAATTAGCACCTTTTCCACGATAAGCCTCAATAAGATTGCAGGCAACTCGTTCGGGATAATAATAACCTTAATTTGCACGGAAGAGCGGCGGCCACGCAAAAAGGCAACAGCAGGCAGCAACCCCCCCTCCCCCCTCTCTCTCAAATCTGGCCCTGGGGTCGTGTCATGAACGTATACCAAGCAGGCAACGCTGGCAGTGTCCCCCCCACAAGGAATGTTCTACGCAGCCGACATTGCACTGTTAGATAGCCGGAATAGGTTACAGGAGCTGACCAAGATCTGCGCAGAAGAAGGAGAGCCTCTGGGCCCGAATTTCAATAGGAACAAGTCGGAAATAAGGGTTTAACGAAGAGAAGGGGGAGCCGCTGAAAATTAAAGACGTTTTAATAGAACGCGTAGAGAAGTATAAATACCTAGAAGTAAGGCTGAATGAGGGAAAACAGTACTTAGAAGAACAGGAAGAGAATATGCTAAAGAAAGGAAAAAGGAATGCAGCAGCCATGAAGCGCAGGGCACCATGGAATTACAATAGATATGAAGTTGCTCAGGGAATACAGAAAGGAGTCATGGTATCCGGGTTGTCCTTCGGCAATGCGGTATTATGCCTAAAATCTGAGGTCCAGTCGAACTCAGAGGCCTGGCAGAGGAGCATGGGCAGGCGGGCACTGGTGGCCCATAGGAATACACCAAATGAAGGTGTGCAGGGAGGCATGGGCTGGGCATCTTTTAAGGAGGGACATGGTTCTAAATAATTCCTCAATATTGAGGTTTTCGGTTTTAGAAACTAATTATACGCCCTTGCACTAAATTTGATAACCATACACCAAATAGTTACGTTGATATAAAATATTTTCAACACATTGCAAGTCAGTAACAAAGTAAAGGAGTTCAATGTTTGAATACATTTTTCTCAGTTCCACTTTTTGCTGCAGATTTCATACGAAGGAATCTTGTTCGAAGGTAAAAGTATTCCGATGCCATGATAAAGATGTTTTTGAACTGAAATTCACTGAGGAATTGGGCTATCTACTTTATTTTGCTTTAAGTTCAAGTCCTCTATGAGAAAAATCTATCTTTTCAAAAATTGGCACAGGTCAGATGTGTATCTCACTTTGATAAAAACTCTTCCTGAATTATTTACATTTGAGTTATAAAAGCTAGTCAGCCCCAAGTCTTACACCCTGACTTTATATTCAAGCAGTCAAAATGATGCTTCACAGCTTCATTTGCATATCGTAGATGTCTTAAAGAAGAGCGACACATCTTATGCAGGTATGTAAAGTTGTCCCAGAGAACTGAAAGTTTGCACAGTACACCTACATCAGACGTTAAATCTCCCCTGCAAATTTCATTCTGATCACTTGAGTAGTTTAGTAGTTAAACCTTTAGCCAGTGTCCCCTTAAAGGGCCCCTGAAAAGAAAGAAAAATGTTTGTTTTAAACAGTCTGATTGGGACATGCGTGTCAAAAAATAAATTTAATGAAAAAAATTTTAGTGCAATTATGACGGCGACAGATTTATTTAAAATTCTGCGTGCAAAGTCCATGACATCAGGGGTCATTCTGGAATGACCATCTCAGTCATTCGCCCTTTCCACCTCAACGTGAAAGCATAGCCGATCCACCTCTCCTCCATGCACCTAAAATGCCGAGAGGAAACAAGCGGAAAAGAGGAGACTGCCAACTAAATCGCGTCTACAATATTGCTCTAAAAACATCTTTCCATAAAATTAATGTTTTGACATGCGTGTCCCAACCAGGCTGTTAAAAAACTTTCAGCCTTTCCATTCTGGTGAAGAAGGGAGACTAGCGGAGCTGTACTATGGTGGGGGCGACCTCGAGGACGACGCCTAGTACGTCCTCGAGGACGACGCCTAGGACGTCCTCGAGGACGACGCCTAGGACGTCCTCGAGGACGACGCCTAGGACGACCTCGAGGACGACGCCTAGGACGACCTCGAGGACGACGCCTAGGACGACCTCGAGGACGACGCCTAGGACGACCTCGAGGACGACGCCTAGGACGACCTCGAGGACGACGCCTAGGACGACCTCGAGGACGACGCCTAGTACGTCCTCGAGGACGACGCCTAGGACGTCCTCGAGGACGACGCCTAGGACGTCCTCGAGGACGACGCCTAGGACGTCCTCGAGGACGACGCCTAGGACGTCCTCGAGGACGACGCCTAGGACGACCTCGAGGACGACGCCTAGGACGACCTCGAGGACGACGCCTAGGACGTCCTCGAGGACGACGCCTAGGACGTCCTCGAGGACGACGCCTAGGACGTCCTCGAGGACGACGCCTAGGACGTCCTCGAGGACGACGCCTAGGACGACCTCGAGGACGACGCCTAGGACGACCTCGAGGACGACGCCTAGGACGACCTCGAGGACGACGCCTAGGACGACCTCGAGGACGACGCCTAGGACGACCTCGAGGACGACGCCTAGGACGACCTCGAGGACGACGCCTAGTACGACCTCGAGGACGACGCCTAGTACGACCTCGAGGACGACCTCGAGGACGACGCCTAGTACGACGCCTAGCACGACCTCGAGGACGACGCCTAGCACGACCTCGAGGACGACGCCTAGCACGACCTCGAGGACGACGCCTAGCACGACCTCGAGGACGACGCCTAGCACGACCTCGAGGACGACGCCTAACACGACCTCGAGGACGACGCCTAGCACGACCTCGAGGACGACGCCTAGCACGACCTCGAGGACGACGCCTAGCACGACCTCGAGGACGACGCCTAGCACGACCTCGAGGACGACGCCTAGCACGACCTCGAGGACGACGCCTAGTACGACCTTGAGGACGACGCTAGCACGACCTCGAGGACGACGCCTAGTACGACCTCGAGGACGACGCCTAGTACGACCTTGAGTACAACTTTCCACTCTGGTCAAAAACCAGAGTGGAAAGTTGGGAAAGGTTTGCTCATAGATGGCAGTAGCGGTCCGGAGTTGTGTCGACATATTTGGTGACCGACACGAAACTGGGGAAACTAGCCCTTAACAGCTTTACTGTAAAGAAAACATTTTTCTTTTCAGGGGCCCTTTAAGGCTGGAGAGGCAAACGGCAAGTTGGAATTTGAACAAAGACTGGAAAACAATTGAGGATACATGAGGGGCGAGAAAGGTATATCATCATCTATATACGAAAAGCCTGGACAAAGAATGGAGAAACCGAACCCAAAAACTGAAATTTAAATACCAACAGTCGAGTGCTGAAGCACACCAGACTCTAAGAAAGGAAGTAAAAGCAGCCTGGAGAAAACTGTGGGAAAAGAGAATGCAGGAAAAATTGGTTAACTATGTACAGGGGGCAAAAACAGGAAATAAAGAAGGACCATTGATTTGATAATCCACCAGGGGGGGGGGAACTCATTGTTATTTGAGGCTGGAACGAGAGTATTGGGGACCAGGACATATAGGACAAAGTAGGAGGAAAGGGATATGCAATGTGCCATATGCCAAAGGGGGGACAAGACAATAGAACGCACGGATTCAGCTGGAGCGCTGGTGTTTGCAGACGAAAATAAGATAATGGATGATAAGTGCAATTTAACAAAGGGAAGATTGGAAGACTGGGGCAAATTATATAGAAAAAATTGAACGACATACAACTGACTGACACTGCTGGGGACAGGCGGGACAAAGGAAATTTGGGACTCCCATGTAGGACCAGCCCAAAGTCTCCACCCTTTATACCAGAGGGCCCGGTGCAAAAGCATTGCTGACTAGGTTTGACCGGAGTAAAATTGGCGACTCCTCCTGGGAGGCGGCCCTTTCCGGCACAGAGCTCGATGATCAGCAGCGACTGGTTGAGCAAGCCCTCCGAATCTGGACGGCGAACGGAGCCCTGGAGTAAGGGCACCAACCAGAGACCGCAAGGTCCTTCCACTTTCCGATTAATAAAGTTTACGATGAAGATGATCCTTCAGAGAGGGGAAGAAGCGGGAAGTCGTGTTTTTAGTTTTTTTGCACGATCCCCCAAAGGTCATCCTAACGAGATCGCAAGCCGCCTGGCGAAAGTTACGGAATAACAGGGGGAAAGCAAATTGGCTTAGAAGGGCAAAGGGAGGAATCATACTTTTGGTTCTTAATTTCTAGGCTAGGTGGAGCAAGCTACGCCCGTTAAAAGGGGTACATTCGTTACCATCTATCCATCCAACCTGTGCCACCCACCTGGTACTGGGAGCGCACCACCTCCAGGTGCTCCCCGTTGGCGTGCATGCGGGCAGCCAGGTCCTCCTTGGCCTGGAGCATCTCCCCCAGCTCCGCCAGCTGCCGGTTCATGTCCACCCGCTGGGGCGCCAGCTGGCCCAGGCTCATCTCCAGGGGGCCCTCACCTCCATCACAGTCCACCTGAAACAGGCACGCACAATGCAGCCTTTAGGAGGGGACTGCGAAACTAATACGCGACAGATTTTAGGGGCATCATGAAACAATTCCGGGAACATGAGCACACAAAACAGCATTTGGGGGACTGTCTTGTGCATCCTCACCCCCCCCCCCCCCCCCCCAAAGACAGTCACGGGTTGTTGCTTCAGGTATTGTTTCAGCCTTTTGGGGAAACTGCGATATTGCGACACAAGAAACGAGAGAACGCGAAACAGTCTTTGGGGAGGGGGGGGGGGGATCGTGTTTTGCATGCCAGTGTTTCAGGAATCGTTTCAGTCCTCAGGTGGACTGTGAAACAATACCTGATGCATAGGCACAGGGCAGTCTCTGGGGGAACTGTGAAACAAGCTATGAAGCTGAAGATAGAAGATTTAAAGTTTAATATGGCCAGGGAAAAGAAATGCCTATATTTTGAGGGACAATGAGTAATTTTAGGGAAAGGTAGAAGTGCTACAGCCCCATACTGGTCCGACAGTTTTGGAGCTCCACAGAAACTACCGTATAAACTGAAATATAGGTCGACCCCCTAATTTAGAAGTTGCAAAAAGCTAAAAAAAAGTTTATGGCAAGAAAATTAAACCTTTCCTTTGAAACAAAATTGGTCAAGGATATGGAAGGACGAGAAAACACGGCACATTTATTTAATTGCTTCGCACGCAATAAAACAGGAAGTGCAAGAGCGTTATTTCAAAGATTCTTCAGAACCTTCGTCCGATGACGAGTTCACTAATCCAATTCAAAGGGACGGTGCCGTCCCTTTGAATTGTGCCTTCAAGAGCCCGGAGGCACGAGCAACCTCGACGGCTTTTGTACGCATGCACTCTGACGTCACAGGTAGCGCGATCTGGTGCGCAGATTTCCAAATAAAATTTGCCACCCCTGTTTCCAATTCGAGGTACACTGCAGTCCTTCCACGAAATGAACCGCTCTTCGCCTCGCTGCAAGCCACCAGTTTTTGTCCCTGGCCTCGCCAGTAGCGTATGCTTTTCTCCAATACACCAAACTCTCGCTGCGCTACAAGATTCCCGTGGGTCTCTGCATAGGCGATTGCCTTAGGCTACCATCAACTGTCTTCTACTTCTGCTCATTATAACGGTAGATATAACAAAACAAGGAGCAGAAATGGAAGTGAATCGTGACCATTATCGTGACAAGTGGACAAGTGCTAGGCGATTGCAAAGAGAAACAAGATGGCAGCTTCAGCCACCCAGTGTTGAGAGATTATTTTTGTTTTTACGCTAATGACTGTTATACGAGACAAGGGTCGACTTTTCAGGTCCATTTTCAAAAATAAATTCGACCTATATTTCGGTTTATGCGCTATGCTAGCGTCGATAGGTTGGCAGAAAATAGAAGACTTCCGTGGACAGGGAAGCCATTTTACTTTGTACTGCTTTCAAGGGGCTTACCTCTTGTCTGCAGCAACTAAATATTGGACTGCGAACAAATAGTCTCCAGCCATTGAGAAGTCAGGAAAACATTATTTTCAAAATGTGCAAGTTACTCTTTTTTTTTTATCAAAAACATTGTGGCTGGTATAAAATATTAAAGGACCTGAATTTTGCCTGTCAGCAGCCTTTCGATTGCAATTTGTAGAGAGACAAATGCTCAAGAACTTGAGCGCTCCGTGCAGTCCTCTGGACACTCACCTTGAAGAGGGACGCGTTTGCCTCACGCCTCGATTTCTCCCCTTCCTGAAACAAACGGCACAAGTCGCTTCTGTCACCATAATCACTTGAAGGCAGACAAAACACAAACGAGACCATCAAGATTTTAGCAGCCTCCAAAATGCCTTCTGCATAACATCCACTTACCGTGTTTGTACGATTCTAACGCGTCCTCGATTCTTACACGCAGGCAAATTTAGCTCCCAGATATTGAAAAATTGAATTGCTGCCGATTCTGCCGCGCAGGTAAAATAATGGACTTTGAACACATACCCCATAGAACCGATTTTATGAAACTCACGCCAATACACAAAAATAAATACCGCGCACAAGTCGCCGTAGTCTGAATCTGGCAATGGTTCTTCGCTGTCCACAGACTGCAGAAGGTCATCCTTGCTTCCGTCTAAAGCGTTTAAGGAGCCGTGCTTCTGGTGCTTGTACGAGTGCGCGACCGTCGCCTATTAGAGAGACGTCTTCCAAGCAACCCTTCACGAGCTCGTCGGGATTGAGAGGCCACGCAGTGTTGCTGCATTGTTATTGTTTCCCGCCAGCGTGATGTTTTGTTCAAATAAAGCCTCCTGATGGAATTTATTTTGTATTTCCATCTTAAAACAGCAGACATAAGTCCGTAAAGGCGAAAGAACATGCGATACGGATACCAAAATGGCGAATGTAAACAAACGGTCACGAAGGCGATTTGGCTAGCAGCCTTACAGCGAGTATTGCGTTTATCTTTTGAGTTTTGGTTTCGATTGTAACGTGCATGTAATTTTAGGCATCGGTTTTGGCGAAAATAAGTGCGCGTTACAATCGTGCAAACACGGTACATCACTTGGTGACACAGATGCTGCAATAACAGCAGCATACATGAGCCCAGTCTGCTTCCTTTTACCTAGTCAAATGCTGCTCTCTTTTCCGCCGCCTGATTGGCTTGACAATTCCAGTCTCAAGCAGCTGGATTTAAGGATACAGTTGAACCTCTTTACAACGAACACTGATATAGCGTATTATCGGATATAGCAAACTAATCACCAAATTTGGTAGGTCATGCTTCATTTGGATGGGAGTTCTAGTACGTAATGAAACCGAAACCGTCAGATCTGGCGTGCGATCGGTTATAGCGAGGCAATTTCTACTTTTCTTGTATCACAAAATACTATCAAAGTTATTCAAACGTTAAAAAAAATACAAAAATATTTCAAAACGAAAAATTACGAAAGTTTAGATTACCCGATGCGCAAAAATGCGCGTTTCGGGAGGTAGCGCCATCTATGAACCGAGTGGATAACGGCCGGGACGCCACTGCTGGCCTCTATGCAAGGCATAAAAAACCGGCGAGGATTAAATCCAACCGCCAACCACGCCACTCGTAACGAAGCTGCGAATAGCGACGAAGTGGAAAGCAGTCTTTCTGGAGACAAATGTGAAGGTTTTAAGGGCGGTGGACAGCAGTCAGAAGAAAAAAAGACGTCACTGCAAAATTCGGGCTCGCACGAAGCACGATATCGACCATCCCGAGTGCAAAAAAAGAAAATCGAGGACTGCTATGCAAACAAAGACTCTTTCGGTCAAGATTGACCGAAAGAGTCTTTGGCCTCGCCTTGACCCAAACGTGGAAGAGGCTCGGTTCTAATGCTTTAGAATGTAAAGGCGCGAAATCTGCCAGCGTCTGTTCAGCTTCTTCAAACGAAAGCATTCAGTCTACCGTGTCTGTTAGGGCATGACACTTTCAACGCGAGCAGCGGTTGCCTCCAGGTGAAGACGCACCAGCCTAAACTCACGCATTTCTTCAAATAAATGAAATAATGGATCCAGCTAAAGTCGTTTCTTGTGTTGCAAATCGAGATCCTCATGTTCCGATTTTTTTTTTCTTAGGCTGCTTAGTGACTGGTGAGGATCGCGTGGTCCGCAATTAGCTCGTGTTTAAATCGCAGTGCTCTGCACGTTCTTGCGCGGACTCGATTGCGGGAACGTTCGCGTCTATTTGTGTGTACTTTTATGACGAATATCGCATATAGCGAAAGAAGTTTCTGCTTGTGATGCTAGTTCATTATAAAGAGGTCAACTGTATATGAAAGAAACTTGGAGCGATTTTACTGGCCGAGTTCAACTGAACTCCTTCCTAAAGCTTTAGTTTGTGCCCGATGCTCAACAGATAAAAAGTAATTGATGCTGCTTAAGGCAATTTTTGTCCCGCTTATTTCATTTTTGCGACCGATTTATTTAGGATAAATAACATGGCTTACTAAATATTCTGTTAGCTTCAGCACGCATAATAGACCCATGTAAATCCCTGTAATAATTTAGAAGGAAAGAATTTTAGCGACACATTACCCTAACGAACTAAGATTACCTAATTAGAATTATATATTTTCCCATATAGACTGAGAAAAGACGCTTTAAGTGCAATTGAAGATTATTAATCAGCATTAGGAGATTACATCTGTGTGCTATATTCGAGCGTGATGTGTTAAAAGACAAGAAATCTTGGGGCTAATTTTGTTCTCAATCAATCCACTTGCGACCCTCCCACGCATTTGTCTCGTGTAACAAACAGCTTTCACGGGAGCAGGACTGCCGTATTATATGCCACCACGTTTAGAAGTCCGCAGGAGTACTTACCATGAACTCATGGATGGTATCTTGGATGTTGCTTATGACGCTGTCACGCTCCGCCCCACCGGCCACGCTCTTCAGCTGCCTAAAGAGTCGTCGAGGAGAAGTAAAAAAAGAAATCAGCGGCCATTTTTTCAGGCGAATAGTTAAAGGGATACTGAACTGAAATTTAGAGCTGATAAAACAGGGCTGGATTGAGAGGCGGGACGCTGCAAAACACAAAAACATCATACAGCAATATCTCAAAACAATCGCCGTATTTTTAGCAAAGAAGTGAGCGATTTTAACACGGCCGGCGAGGCAAGCCTCGTTACGATTCTCATTCTCTCTCCTCGCTACGTCCCGTCGAGCTGGTGAACTGAAGGAGAGAAAAGAGGCCGCTTCCCCTCATTCTCAAACTTTCCAGGAGGACAACGACGTCATAGCCCTCGCTTAATCGCACCTTTTTCTAAAAGTATGGCCATCCGTTTAAGATGTCGATGTACGAGTGATGTTTTGGAGTTCATAGCGTCCCATTCAACGCTTCTGCAGCCCGATTTTACGATATCCAAATTTCAATTCAGCATGCCTGGTACTGGAACCAAACGCAATGGTGCGTTCGAGCTAGTGGTGAGAGGGAACAGAAAAAAATCTCCATAGGATTCACATTAGTGAGTCGAGAGAGCATTAGGATTTCGGAGATTGACATTCTCGACCTCCAACTTCAGAGACAAAACCTTAGGACAAACAAAGACCATTCACCTCGTCTCAACTGGAGTGTTCGGAGTGTCTCTTCTTGAACCGGGACCCAGAGATTCCCAAGAGTACTTCCAGGGTTTCACCCAAGCTACCCCGAGTGCAAGCGTTATTTTCAGCAGACCCGAGCCATTCACTGATGCAGAACTACAGTCTAAGCTCGTTATAACAGACCTTGATTCTAACCAAGACTTTGGTCTGTTGTACAAGGAATATGTTGTGTGCAGATATAAAGTTGAGTCAGTGGTGCATAGAGGAAAACCAACCGAACCTCACAAATCGGTATGTTATATCCAAATATCTGTTGTAACCAGGTCTGTTATGATGACCTTACCCTGAACAAGTCAAAAACCCCTCGGTGTGTACATTATAGCTTACAAGCTGCGCAGGTCCCTGCACTGCTTTACTGTACCAATGCCAAAACCAGGAAGAGTTTGTGTCTACCACTACCAAGGGGTAGGCTCACTGCTCAAATGCATTTGAACAGTGAGCAGAAACAAAGGCAGCTAACCTTTCAGTCTACCTGCTAACCGTTCCAATCGGAGCTCTGTACTCCGACGTGCCTGTGTGCCGTCCTCTCCTCTCATTCCGTTTCTCACTGCATGGTGCTTAAAACGAGGAACACCACCAGGCAACAGGGACGGTATGAAAAAAAAAAAAAATTGGGAAGCTTGTAGAGTTCCCACGTTCCTAGAAACTTGCCATTTTATAGGCGGTCCATCTAAATGAAAGCAACGGTGGACCTTCCCGTGTTTGTTTCAGTTCCAGAGCAAACAGGCACTCACTCGACTTTGGACTCCAGCTGGTCCACGAGTTGCTTCAGCTTTTGGTTCTCCATTTGGTCCTGTGAAATGTGACGAGCACAAAAGTCGGCACGGAAGCGTCCCCCGTGGCAAGCCACGCAAGAATTTCTCTCGGCGAAATCTTCTCACGCATCGGCAGACAACTTCTGGCGCTTAGATGAATTTTCTGCGTTGCTTTGGTTTGCTTAGGTCAGCGATTTCACCTGTGCCGCTTCGGAATCCTCATTGCCGAGAATCCGTCGGTGGGTGAAATCGTTCGAAGCGTCCTGACCACTGAACAGTGGTCACGACGGGCCACTGAACAGTGCCACTTCCATTGGCAAAGATAGCAACACCAGGGACGATGACACTGCGACTCCACCGCCACCGCCCTTTGCGGCCGCCATCGCAACTATTGACATGGCCAGTACACACGTAGCAGGACCTCTCCTCGACCGGAGCTTGTTGCATTTGAATGGTACGAAGGCTGCCATTATGTACAGAATGCACATGCAGGGAAGCCTTGACCGCCTTCTGCAGGCGTAATGAACATAAACATACTATTCTATTCTTTTTGTGCATTATTTTTAAGGACGCCAGACATAAGCAAGAAGCGAATATGGCGAAGTGATTTCCGATTCCCGTCGACTTTGTTACAACCGGCCTCAACAGTATTTCGATGTAAACGATAAACCTACATGCCACACTGGAGCGCAAGTGACCGCCCTCACCAGAAGCATCTGCTCGCTGGAGCGCGTCAGCTGGTCCAGCGCAGACATCAGGTTTCTGCTCAGCTCCTGGTTCCTCTCGGCCAGGTCGGCCGAGTGCTCGAGCAGAGCCCTGCGCTGCTGAGCGCACGTGGCCAGAGAGCATGTGGCTTCTTGGTCGGGTGAAGACGTGACGTCGTGCTTGGAAGTGGAGGCACCAGACCGATCACCAATCGACTCTGCCTGGTACTTGAGGAGCTCCACTTGCAGCTCGTGAACCTGCAGTGGAGAGGGATCCAGTCGCTCGTGATACAGAGTTGAGACTGCTGCATTTTTGCACTGTACTAGTTGAAATTCTTTTACAAAATATCTGTGCGTTTTATACAGGGTGTCTGGCAAATTATTTTGAAATTCCCCGACTTTCCAGGTTTTCCCCAAGAATTTCAGATAAACTCCCTGACCACTGTATAGGCGGTTAAATACATAAGACCATTACAACACAAGGCATTGAGCACTGCGAGGATCATTTTTTGCACGAGCTTAATCCAACTTGCATATTCCGAAATACGGTCAAATCTGATTAATTCAAACTCTCTTAATTAAAACTTGCAGATAATTCAAACCCTCTTCCCGCTACAACGTGGCATATGCGAGCAGGCGCAGGTACTACGGCAACACCTTTTGGAGCAGCCGAGTCGGGTGAGCGACGAGCCAACGGCTGCCCCTTTCTAATCCCTCTTCTTTGTACCGGCTCTGTCGTCTGCTGCATTAACACTTTGTCAAACCTGGTCGAAAACTGCCACGGTTGCGGTGCAAACTAAATGGATTCGGTGACACTTCAATACGTGAAGGTAAGTTACGACAAATAACATATTGAAAACAAGTTCACCTGTCGCGATGCCTTTACGCTGCCACAGATACGGTACGCCGCCAACGACATACGACTCCGCGGATAGGCGGGATGGCTGCAACGGCTGCTAGTGGTGGCAGCCGGGACGCGCGCACAGTCGCAGAGGCGCAACGAGAAAGCGCGTCATCTGTACCGAGGGTTCCTAAAATTCCCTGCTGTCGTGGCGCTGCACGTTTTGCAAAGGGTCTATTGGAGCATTCAAGTTTCTAGCTTCCACTCCGCTTGGTTGCAAACAAATCAAAATGTGAAGAAAAAAAATGAAAACGAGCAATATCATATTGCAAGCAAATCTGGATGCAAAACAATAAGCAAATGAAGCATTTCACACTGACTAAAAATGAAGCTGCTTTCGTTCTAATATGGCAGGGTTTAGACCAATAAGACATTCACTCAACTATTAGATATACTGTATTTACTCGCAGAATGAACGCACTTTTTTCCGAGAAATCGATGCAAAGTTGAGGGGGGCGTTCATTACGCGAAGTAAAATTTTTGCGTCCGTATTTACTCGCATAATAAACGGACCTTTTATCCTGAAAAATCGAAGTAACTTCTTATCTCTTTGTGCGCGGCGCCCGACCCTGTAACCAAACTAAGCTGTGAAAAAAAAAACTTTTTTCTTAGTTCCTTGGGTATTTCTTTTCGCTGCCTTTCGCAAGCTGTTTTGTTCGATTAAGGGAAGGCTCTCCGCTTATCTTTCTTATCCTCTTGAGGGCGGCGCGCGACGCACGACCCCCCGTAACCAAACTGCGCTGTGCAAAAAAAAAAAAAAAAAAGAAAAAAAAAAGCTCCTCTTTTTTTTTTGCTTGTTTCTCAGTTCCGTGGTTTTTATTTTTTTATTTTTTTTTTTTTTTGCCGCTTTTCGCAAGCTGCTTCGTTTGCTTAGAGGGCTTCTCCGCTCCTCTTTCTTACCTCCTTGCGCGCGACACGCGACCCCCGGTAACCAAACTGCGCTGTGCAAAAAAAAAGAAAAAGAAAAAAGCTTTTTTTTTTGTTTTCGTTTTCTCTTAGTTCCGTGGGGTTTTTTTTTGTTTTTTTTCTTTTGGCCGCCTTTCGCAAGCTGTTTCGTTCGCTTAGAGCGCTTCTCCGCTCCTCTTTCTTACCTCCTTGCGCGCGGCGGCGCGCGAACCCGAAGTCCAGAGTGCGCTGTGCAAAAAAAAAAAAAAGCTACTCTCCATGTTTTTTTTTCTTGCTTCCGGTGGATCTTTGCGAATTTTTTTAACGCCTTTTGCAAAGCGTTTTGTTCTCCCACGCTGCTCATGCATTCGCGACCTCGCTGCACTAGGACAGAAAAGTGCGTTCATTTCGCGCGCGTGGGGGGAGGCGGTCAAAATTTTGACGTCCGAGTTGGGCGTGCGTTTATTACGCGAGTAAGAAAAAGTCGAAATTTTGAGAGCCGATTTGGGGGGTGCGTTTATTACGCGAGTGCGTTCATTGTGCGAGTAAATACGGTACAGCAATTCTTTCTTCTGCATTGTTTTGAGCAATTGGACAGATTGCTCATTCTATCTGTTCCGTTTTAAAATAAATTTAGTACTGATAAGGACTTTTCCCGCTACAGTGGTTTAAATGAAATTTAGATCCAATAAACCCGATTTAAATCAAATAAACTTGTTATAAACCAAAACAATCTACACCAAATATAACCATTTGACACCAAATATACCCGATCCAAATGAAAAACATCAGATTTAAATAAAACGAAACAGATTTAAATCATTACGATTTATTTATTTCTTTTAAGAAGAAATCACAATTATTTTATTTTACTTTCGTTAGCAGGCACTACTCCACCAGGATCGAGAGACCTTCACAACCGTCAGCCTCGCCATCTCCTCGACGCAGAGTAAAATGAACAGACATTGGCACTCACCCGCTGCTTCAGCCGAAGGATCTCTGCCTGGTTGGGGTCACGGTTCACGACGGGCCGGTTCTTGATTTTGCGTGCCCGGTCGGCGTACCGCAGTGTGTTCAGAGTCTCATCGCAGTTGTAGTCTGCCGGGCTCACACACGCGATCATGACGGTGTGGCTGTTGCCTCCCAGGGAGTCTGTGCAGAGATGGCCGCGGATGAGGAAGGCAGAAGCTCGTCGCAACAGAGCGCCCCGACGGGACGGATCGACACAACGAGCTGGGGCATAGGCTCCCAAACTAGGTTGCAAGGAACCTAATGTTCCCCAAACTCAAATTACTTTGATGGATCCCCACACCTAATCAAACAGTTCTGCCAGTTTGAGCAGAATTACCGTGGCTAAAACTGCTGTTTTGGGTGAGCTGGTTGTTCATGATGATAAGACGCAAGCGCATACCTGCCAACTATTCCAAATTTTTCGTACAATATACGAATTGGGACTAAGTTTAAGATTTTACGAATCATGCTTCAAATTTTACGAATTTTTGTTTTGCTAGATTTTTTTCGTAAATTTGTTTCTGGCGGTATCTTGCACCACTACAAGAAGGTGATAGGTACCCTCCACGGCACCGCAGTGGTTTTTACTATCCATCTATCCGGTGGCCACGGATCCAAAGCCAATCCAAAGCCCAAAGCCTTTGTTCGTGTGTTCGGCGGCACACGTTGGTTCGGCGTGTTCAGACATGGTTGGGCCTTTCTGTTTCGGCCAATTTCGAGGTGAGAAGTGTGGCATCTGTGTTTGTTGCACGTGTAATAGTAGCATTTCCCTGGTCGCGGTGGCTTCGCGGCACAATGACGAACTCCAGACCTCGAAAGAGGTACTTTCATGACGTTCCTGAAGTCCCACACGTCGGAATTCCCATGCTTTGTGCCATCCAAAAAGGGGGAGGCACTCACTTGATCGAATGCCGTTTTAGCGAACGCCCACGTTTCACCGAACAACAATTTAGAAAATAATCAGATGCCGCGAAGTGGCGTTTTTAGGTGGGCCATTGGGTTCACATTTTTGTAATGAGCCGCCGCAGACTGTCACCGCAAAGCGGCGTAAAGCGCAGCGCGGCGGATGGGTTAACGCATGCCCTCGTTATTCGCTAAAACGTTGATTCGCTCAAGGGAGAGAAGTTTGGACTCTGTAGCATGTGTATGTGTTATGTAAGCATTTCGCAGGGTGGCAAGGCTGACATTAACCTAAACGTGTAATCATTCATGTTGAACAACCACTAGAGTCACTCTTGCAGAGCTCGAGCACTCTGCGATGCACACTTTATTCACCCGGGCCAGAAAACACCGTTCTTTTTTCTCGGTAGCTCCCTGTACAATCGAGACAAGCTTGAATTATTTTTTTTTTCTTCATGAAAGGTGTCTATCATCACACATGCATTCTATCCGGGCCTTTGGAAAAACAGTTTTAGTTAAGTGTCCTTTTAAGAGAGAGGAAAAAACACCCCGAGTACCTTGGAGCAGACGTGTCAGCTTCGAGTCCCTGTACGGGATGTGGTTGCTCTCATCACACAGCGCGCTGATCACGTTCCCCAGAGACAGGAGGCCACGGTTGATCTGCACCCCTGGGAGACAAGATATGGAACTCGACGTCTGAGAACACCTTGCAGGCAGTCTCAAGCACAGCCGCAAAAGTTACGACTGGCTCACACATTTACGTTGAGAGTATGAATGACTGCATTGCGAACGCTCATGACAAGGGAACAGACTGGCACCGGCTATTTACTATCCCTGGCAGGCTTTAAATCTGCATACTTTCAAAAATGACAAAGTTAAAAAAACAAAAGACTACTGGAAAGAGTTGATTTCTTTGGGACAACGTTACCTACTATGGCAGACGTTGGAAATAAAGCCTAAAGTGATCATTAGCAAATAAACCACTTAAACTGTACGAATTAAAGAGAAACTGAAGAGCTTTTCGAAAAAAACTTTCAGCCTTTCCACTCCGGTGAAGAAGGAAGAGCAGTGAAGCTGTAGCTTCTGTTCTCGGTGGTGGCTTTCCAGGCAAGTGATCTGCTCTTCTTTCACAAGAAAATCTGAAGCGCTCGACGCAAGCGGCGGTTGCGGACCCATTCGCACTGCTGCATATGTCGCCGCTCCTTCCGCACCCGGTCTTCTTTCCTCGAAGAAAGGGCACGCGGCCGACCCATCGCAAGTCCAAACCGAAACTGATAAGAGAGTAGGAAACAGCGCGCAAAACAGACTAGGACGAAGAAACACACGCGACGTGCGCTGCGCAAGTCACGTGTGTTTTTTCTTCGTCCTCGTCTTTTTTTCCCGCTGTTTCCTACGATGAATTCCCACCGACTCGCCCCACTATCCATTCTCCTATGATAGCTGGAAAAGTTGCCGCCATCTATGAGCGACGGCGGCAACCAGACTGGTTGCTGCTGTTGCCTATAGATGGTGCAGTTTGTGTCGACATTTCTTCGGTACCGAACACGATCCTGGGGAACCTAGCCCTTAAGGGGGAACACTGGTCTTGGAGGTCTTTCTTATTTTATGACCAAACTCAATGAAACTGCACAAGCTTGTTCAGCTTTTTGTGCTGATTTCATATATCTTGTAATTTCTTCATTCAGTCGAATTGCCCTGAAGATACTTAAAACTTGCCTGCCTTTGTTTGGAGGAATGATAAGGAAAAAACTGCTTAACAAAATATCCTTTTTAACACATGGCCAGATACTACGAAGTGTAAAGAATACAATGTTGGAAGTACTTTTAAGATAAACCCGTTATTAGTGATTTTACAACATATTGAAGTTCAGTGCTCAATGCATGGCTAACAAGTAATAAAACAAAAGATAAAATAAAAAATTTTCTAGACTTTTATTAAAAAAGTTGCTCTCAACATTGTATGCTTCACACATTTAACAACACATTTCAAGAAAGGTTATATTTCTGACTGCTGTAGATGCTGAGATATCCCTCCTGCAAATTTTCAACGAGTCCAAAAATTGTGTTATGTGAAAACAATGTTTTAGAGTCAACTTTAATGCACATTCAGCCCGCATAGACATTATAAATTGATTTATAGCTCGAATATTCATCCACGAAATTAGAAGCTGGGTAGATTCAGAAGAACAACAGCCATTACCGTTTTCACAAGAATGCAGTTTTAGGAAGTTTTTGGCTCCAAAGACCCATGTCCCCCCTTAAAGGGGCCCACAATCATATTTAAGCGACTACCTTTTTTGCGGTTTTCACGTCTCTTGGGGTTCGGGCAAGCCAGCGGGCAAGCCAGCAGGCACGGAGAGAGTAACTAAATATCAATGCGTCGCATTTTAACCGGACGACGCGGAAACCTCCTCCACCGACGAGGGCGACCCGCGGTACCGAAAGCGCGCAAAATGTGACGTCTTTGGTCCTGGGCTTACTACTGGTCAGAGCTGCTAAAAGCTACTTTTTAGTCGAAATACAAAATATAAGTGGCGCAAATCCTTTCAGTTATTTATAAAAGTAGTTTTTGCTCAGTATTTTAGATCGGAAAAGAAACAAATGCAGTTTATAAAGTATGGAAACAAGATATGACCCTTCGACATACCCGCCACCAAGCGGTGGAAAAGGCGGGGCACACTAGAAAGGAGTAGTGGAATCAGGTGCCAACACGGAAAGGTCCCAGATGTACGCGGCGGCGCTGCGGTCGTATCAACAGGAGGATTCGACCGGCTCCGAGCGTTGCGAAGGCCTTTGGCGAGAAGCTTTGTCTTGCGGTTTGGCCGTTTCGCGGTATGGCAGCGCGAAGTGGCTCCCATTCTGAACTGATCTTTACCCCGTGTTTGCTGTCGTTTGTGGCCAATGAAGTGTCATGCCGAATTAGTGTTTAATCGCGCAGCAAATGCTATGAGAGCCGCTCTGGCTGCCTGCTGCATACAGCCTATCCAGAACATGCTCTCGCGCCGTCGACACGGAGTGCGGCAGCCGCGAGCGCTCGCGATGAGCCCACTACCCCTCCTCTAGTTCACGGCCACTCAAGCAACCAAGGATGTCATGAGGGAGGTTATTTTTTGCTTGTCTTTGTAATTTTAATTTCCCTATAACTTTTAAAATAAAGCGAATTTAGAGAAAATAAAAGTTTCACCAAGTTACTATATTCACTGCGCTCAGGTTCGGTGCAAACTAAAAACCAGTAAAAAAAGTCCTTGCAGGGCCCCCTTAACAGCTCCGCTGTAAAAATGAGTAAATGGTTGGTTCTGACGTGTTTGTGCCTGCCGAGTCCAAATATCACGACCGTCTGACCCAAAAAGACCACTAATTGCAAAAAGCTAAGAAAACGGAAGCGATCGTTGCAGCGGCACGCAATTGCCTAGTCACGCGTGGCGCACCACTATGTTACAAGAGGACCATCTCGATTCTCGCTTGCAGAAGTAGCCGGGCGCCGAGACTTCTACTTTTATTGATCGGGTTCGGCTTCCGATTTTCCGAAATCTTTCGGTGGATTCGCAAGGGATGTGTCCAGGGGCCCTTGACGTGACAAAGGTATGCGTTCCAGCCGTTGGCAAGGCAGAAAAATGACCCACCGCAGTAATAAGGGCGCACACGAGGAACTGCTTGCGCCGACGCGACATGGCCGGCTTCACACGTTCAGAAACTTACCGACTGCTACTTATTGTAACGTAATTAATATGTTGACAATAAACGTAGTGCTATTGACTGGACGCGTCAGGCTGGATGATCGTGACCCTCTCCAAAACGGTCGTCAGAAGACAAGAATTCGGCGCACCTCAGGCTTCATTCTTGGCAGCTGCTGGACACGTGAGCATGCGGGCTGCATTCTTAACCAAGGCTGAAGTGGTTTGAAGGGATAGTATAATCGGCATTGGGATTGTTTCCCCGAGACAAGACTGGTCATGAGACAGGGACGCCGTTCTGCCACGTCCTTCCGTACAACGCGAATAACTGCACAGAGGGTCTATACTTGCGATAGTGGTACCCTCTGCTGCGTTTAGTTTGTTTGCCACCAATTATTACGCCTTTACAACCTTAGAGAAAGCAGAGATGTGTGCCCAGCAGCCCTGAGTTGAATTCGTGAAAGCTTCCTGGGCCTCCACATTCACATACTTCTCCCAACATTTGTTGACTGCATTAGACCACCACCAAGCATTATCATCGTCCGATCGCATTGCTACGGCACAAAGAATTGTTGCATGACATACAAACTTTATACGGAATACACTGCATAACTTGTAAAAAGAGAACTATTAACAACAGAATGTCACATGCTTTGTATCTCTAAAAAATGCTCCTGAAGAGAATATGTAACTATGGAAGGAAACTTTAACAAAATTTGTGTTTGTGCTTAAAAAAGGTGACCCCAAATGGCATCAGCAACTGTAAAAAAAAGTCCACGCTAAAACAGGTTGCACCGTGAGAGTCACATGATGAATTGCATGACCACTTATTACAACAAGCCCTCCTCTCCCAAGTGACTGGGTAGCAGATCAGGTTCAAAACTAAAGAAACCAATCTTGGGTAGCGGAGTCTGTCCCGGAAATATGGTCAATCCAGCGATGTAAGGAACCGAAACTGAAACACTAATGAGGCAGTTGACACAGAAGAGACAGTACAGGGTTCGTTCAGGTTTTCAAGAAAAAAATTCAAGAACTTTTCAAGGACCTTTCAAAAAATAAAGAACACTACAGTAGATCACACACATTTTTATTGCACAGAACAAAGAAAACTGACTTCACTTGAAGTTATTGCGCATACAGTTTCATTCGATTAGGTGAAGTTAGTTCTGGAGATTGTACATAGTCTCATTCGACTACATGAAGTGCGAAAGCTCACGTCAGGTCTTTTAGTTTATTAGCTAGTTGAGTCTTAATGCTGCTGAGTTCCTCAGCCTTGGCTCTTGCGGTATTTCTTAGGCTGTTCGATTTTACCACCTTCTTGATGTCAGCAGTTGCTTTAGTCTTTTCTGCATATTCATCTGCAGAGGTCGTTAAATGGGCAACAACTGCCTCAAGCTTCTTTTTCTTCATCTGCAGGCCTTCAACCTCTTCCATGATTTTTTGCCTTTTTGTTTGCTGCAAGTTTTCCTGGCACTGTTTCTTTTGCGATTCCAGGTGTGCACTGTAATGCTGCCTCGCTGCAGACACAGCTACTCTGAGCTCTTTTGAGATAGCAACGTTCAAAATCCCACCTGCCCTCTCCACTGCGTCTTATATGATACGCTGTGAAATGTATGACAAACCTTTCAGATTCTCTACAGAGATGTGACGGTTTACGCTAAACCCCCGTTCAACGGTGGCCTGCCCATGGCTTAAAACAAGCAGCAGCGTGACTGCGTTCCAAAGCTCTTTGTACGAGGGATTGGAGCACAAGAGGTCACGAAAAAAACTCGTCGAGCCTGCTGATGCTCCTCTCAAACATGCGGAGCTCATGCTTAAACTCTTGCAGCAGTTCAGTGTATTCTGCCAATACACATACTCGTTGGCGGTCACTCAGTCTTCCTGCCATGGTCAAGACGTCCAACACCTTCCTTATGCCCACCAGGCACTGATCTGGCTTCGAGCACATGAGCCGCGGGTCAAGGGAAGACAGGTTTCTAACCATGGATGACTTC